TCACAGATGAGGAAACAGGCTCAGAGAGGTGAAGTGACTTGTCTAAGCATTTGTGTTTAGATCAGTCCATCTCCAAATAGTAGCAAAAATGGTTCTAGGTGACTTTTTAAAAACACAGCAGGTAGCACCCTCAATGCAAGAAGAAAGGCAGGAAGTCAAGATGGAGGTGGACAAACTGCTGACTGGGCTGTCAGGACCCAGGAAGTGGTAACCTGGTACCCAGGATGGGACCCCAGCCCTCTTCAGGAGGATGTGCTTGTGAGTAGCTTTTAAGAAACTGGCCCAGGAGAGTCTGGGGCCACTGCCCATGCCAAACTGTGGCTCTAAGGGAGGGGGAGACACAACACATGCTCAGGCAGGGGGCGTCAGCTGGCTCTGGCCCAAATTGTTTGGGTTTGTGGATAAACAAAGGCTACCCTGTTTCACCTCTGTGTGATCTTTCTATGTGAGTCACCCTGGGCCCCAGGGACGTTCCTTTCCACCTGGCATGTGAGAAAGGCCTGGGTGTCTGTGCCAGGTATGGGCCAGTCATGAGTGTGCCAGAGACATTTCCTCATCAGGAGCTTTTTGAGAGAAGCAGCATATAAGAAATGGTAAAAGGAGGCCTTTAAGCTCCTACAGCCAGGACCCTGCTAGCTACTGTCTGGGTAACTTGAGGAAGTCTCACCTCTTAAGCCTCAGTTTCTTCATCAGTTAAAGGGGAATAGTGGCTCATAAGATTATTATATGGCTCATAATATTGATGGGAGGATTCACTGAAGTGAAGCATAGACTGTGAGGACCTGACTTAGAGTGAAGACTTATAATGTCAACATTTATTACAGTCATGGGGACCATGAGCCCAGAATCAGAGAGAGCCTGAAGCTGACCCCTAAGGCTGTCACACATTTTGCATGGTTGTAGGCCTGCAACCTCCACATCCCCACAGGCTGTACACACATGCACATCTTTATACACATGCTGCATGCACACCACCTTGCATTCATGCTTTCACATCCATGTGCACATGTAAATTCACAAGTATGTCTGCTTATACACAAACATACATAGCCACACAGATTCTACCTGTAGGCAGGCTCTGGAAAATAGGGCTACACACACAGGCAAGTGTACACTTATCTTCCCCCAGTGCACATGAACACGCGCACCTGAATTTGTATCCATTCAGATGTACATTTCCACCTCCCAGGACCACCAGGCCAGCTGTGGCCACACCTGGTGGACGAAAGAACCTCTGCACCCCACAGCAGCCACAGCCAAATCCTGGGTCCTCCCACAGGCTTGGCAAGTTCTGTCCTCTGAGTGTCACTGTTTATGTTTTCTGATTTTTTTTTCTGGTACCAGGGATCAAAGTCAGCACCTTGTGCTTTCGAGGCAGGTACAGCGCTACTGAGCCAAATCCCTGGCCCTGACTGTATCTGTTTTCTCGATAGATCAAGCCCTCTGGCTCTTCAAGTTTCACCTCAAACATCACCTGCAGGAAAGTTTTCCTGATGCTTCAAGCCAGAAAGATCTGTCCCACCAGCCATCAGTTCCTTTGCTTGTTTTTTCCACCTCAACCTATCAGCTGTCACTCTGTGTTTCCCCTGGGGGAACCTTGAGCTGTAAGAGCCCAGTGACTGTAGCTCATTCACTCTTGTGTCCCCTTTAATGGTCAACACAGAGCACTGGCTCTGGAATGAGAGTCTGAGTTGAAATGAACCTGCTGACACATGGGCTGCAAGAAGTTACTGTTTTCCCTCTCTACAAATCAGTGGTCAGGCAAAGCCAAGCCCCTTGGCTGCTCACCTAGCTGCTCAGCTCATCCTGTGGACAGACCAGGACACAGGGCTGTCCTATATACCCCTCCTGGCACAGAACTCCCCAGAGGCCCTCATTTAGAGACTGCCTCTAGGTCCTGCTGCCGTGACCACTGTCCCTTAGGGCAAGACTCGGAGGGCTGGATAAGCCCAGAGGCAGCTCCCATGACTTGCTCTCCTTGGGCAGACAGATACTTGTAGCCCACTGCAAAAGGCAGCTTTTCCAAAGCACCTGGAGATCTGCCTTCAGGCAGTGCTTCCCAGAGTCTGGTTCACGGCTTCAGGACCGCCCAGGGTGCTGGTCAGTGCAGATTCCTGAACTCAACCGAGCCTTCCTGAATCAGGACGGCTGAAGTGACAACCAAGGATCAGCATTAGTGATCAGATAGTAATATAGTTCATCACAGATGACCTCTGGTTTTAGCCCTGGTTAAGGGACTGAGACCACACTGCTTAGTTCAAATTTTGGCAATGCTATTCACTACCGCTTAGGCAAATCCTTTAACCTTGCCAGGCCTCTATTTCCTGGCCTGTAAAATGGGGATGCTGCTGCTGTCTGTCTCACTGGGCAGCTATAGGAGTTAAGTGAGTTCATGAATATGAAGTGGACAGTACAGTGCCTTTTAGGCACAAGAAGTATAGCTTATTAGTATCACAGCTGCTTTCTCATGCCATGAGACTTTTTTTTTTTTCTGGTACTGGTAGCTGAATCCAAGGGTTGCTCTATCACTAAGCTGCATCTTCAGCCCTTTTTATTTTTCAGTATTTTGAGATAGGGTCTCACTAAACTGCCACGACTTTACTCAGACTCATAATCCTCCTGAATACCTGGGTTTACGGGCATGCATGCCCCATTTAATACTCTGGACCTTTTGAGCAAGGGTCAGAGCCTTGACATCCTATTTCCAAGAAAGGCCCTGTTGGAGGTTCTCTGGGCAGCACAAAGACTTGGCAGAGCAGGGCCCTTGCCCAGGACACCACACCACCTAGTGGCTGGTGTGTGGGGCCATGCCCAGCTTTCCTGTCTCCACCCTGCTAACATCCACAGACCACTTGTTTTAGCTTCCACCCTGCCTCCTCGCCCACCGGCAGCCTCAGGCCCTGCCCTGCTGCCCTGGGAACCTAACTGGCTTGGCACTGGCCCTGGCTCTTCCCTCCAGTTTTGTAATAAAATAGGTGGCTCAGATCAGCTTTCCCTGACAGGGAGGGCACCTGGCCCAGAGGTAAGAGGCAGAGAGGAAGCCGGGGTGACCATCAGTTACAGTCTGGTGTTCTCAAGGACTTCCAGAAAACAAACAAAAAAACACACACAAAACAAAACAAACTTGTCTTTCTTCCTTTCCTGGTCCTTCATCATTCCTTCATTTCATGAATACATTAATTCATTTAATACTGAAATGTTTACTGTATTTCATATGCTCAGGCTCAGTGATGATCACCAGGGATCAGCAAACTTTTCTCTAAAGGGCCAGCTAGTAAATATATTCAGCGTTGTGGGTCAATCTACTCTGCTGTTATAGCAAGAAAGTAGCTGTTGACAGCATGTAAACAAGTGGGTGGATGTGGCTGTTACAAACTCTCTGTAAACATTGAACTTGGAATGTCACACATTTTCACATGCCATAAAGCATTCCTTTGAATTTTTAAACTATTTAAAAAATATAAAAACTATTCTTTTTTTAGTACTGGAGATCGAACTCAGGACCTTGCACTTGCGAGGCAGGCAGCAGAACCATTGAGCTAAATCTCTGCCCTGTAAAAACTATTCTTATTTTGCAGGCCATACAAAATAGGGGACAGCCACTGGGCCATAGCTTGCCATTCTGAGCTGAGACCTCTACAGCTAAGACTGAGAATAGGGTAGGCATTGTTCATGCTTGTATCTCTACCAGCTCAGGGCTTTGGAGAGGTTTAGTGAGGAGAGGAAGGTACCCAAGCCTTGTGTAGCTCATTCCCTGCAGTCCTCCTAGACTCTGTCCTCTCAGTGTCACCTATGTTACATATGGGGACTCGGGTTTCCTTTAGGACAAAAATCCCTTTTTGCGGGCAGAAATATTACTATATAAGCGTTTAGAGTCCAAAGGACCTTGGTCCTTGACCATCCCTTAGCTAAGTGGGCTTGGGTTACTTAACATCCCTGTGCCTCAGTTTCCTCATCTGTAATGGCTACCTCAGAGGCTGTTAAGAAGGTGAAGGAGTGCAAACAGGCACATACAGTGTTTTGGAAATGGTTAGTGCTTGTAGACTCTCCTTATAGCTTCTTTTCCTCCACTCACCCCAGTGTGGATGCCCAAGCTTAGGAGTATGTGCACAAGAAAGAGCTCTTGGCTGGCTCTGACAAGAATGAGCTGAGGAGGAGATGGGTGCTTGGCTGGGTATAAAGATTATGGGAATCCACTTTCCTTGCCAATCCACAGTCCATGAGGGTGGTCAGCCTGCCCAAGTCAAAGTCTTGAGCTTATCAGCTATTATGTGCCCGGCTTGCTCTGTCTTCCAGAGCAGTGTGTGTTGGAAGCTTTACATTTTATAACGCACATCAGATCCACTTTTCCACCGTGGCCTTACAATTCCTAACATGCAGGCAAGCTCATCAGGCTCCTGGGGTCCACTCTGCCCAGGTACAAGCTGTGTAGATTTGAATAAGTTACTTTATTTCTCCGGGGCTCACTCTCATCTCTGACAACTGGATTCAATTCTCAGATCGCTTCTCGGCCTTTTGGCTACGATCAAGTGTGGATTCAATTCTCAGAGCTTTAGGAAGGATTTCACAAAACCATAGACGCGAAGGTGCTCTGTTTAACTTCCAGTCCTCAATTTTTTTTCTCTGCAAAATGGAGAAAATTCCTATTCAGCCTTCAAAGGGGTTGTGGGTGCCACTGCATAAAGCGAAGGCCAGTGGTAAGAATCTGATAAGGAGGCTGGCGAGTAGTTTGTTCCCCTTCTGGCAGATGAAGTCAGGGACATTACTATTTCATGGTTGGTGCCTGAGATTCTGAGAGAAAGGACTTTGGCTTCTGTGACAGCGGCTTTTAATACTGACCACAATACTTATTTGGAGAAGAAAGAAAACAGCGACAAAAAGCGAGAAGAGACTGCGGCGCCGGCCCGCTAGCGGCAGAACCGTAAGGGCCACAACTCTTGTCCCGCCCCCGCTGTCTCAAAATGACCAATCAGCGAGTGAGCCTCCCGTGACGCCATCTTCCAGCGTCAGAGCCGGTGGCAGTGGTGTTTCCTGTTGACGGAACCGAAGGCCATGGGCAGTCAAGAGGTGCTGGGCCAGGCGGCCCGGCTGGCCACCTCCGGTCTCCTCTTGCAGGTACTCTTGACTGTTTGGTCCCTGTCCGTGCCGCAACCTGGATTCGTGGGGAGGGCGGCCCAGGGGTTCCTAAGAGTCCGCCCGCGGCCAGACCCAGCTCTGACGGGGACCCCTCTGTGCCGGGGGGTCAGCAGGAGACAGTGGCGGTGGTGACGGCGCCTAGGCTAGGAGTTGGGAGCCCGCGTTCAGAGCCTTGACTGAGCGACTACAAACAAAACCTTTTTGTTTTTGAGCGTTTTGAGTTTTTACAATTTATTTATTTATTTATTGGTACCGGGGATCGAACTCGGGTCCTTGGGCTTGCGCAGCAGGCGGCGAAACCACTGAGCTAAATCCCCGGCCCTCTGAGCGTTTTATTTTCCATCTGGCAGTAGGAGAGAATTAGATCGAGGGTCAGGGAGCATTTGGTGGTCGAGAATCTGATATTTTTAAGACGGGGAGTCCATTTCCTGCATGTCGAATCCCTGACCCTCAGACATCTCTCTTCAACCCTTACTCTCGCTGATTTTAGGGAGGCTGTGGCATAGCTAAGAACCTGGACCTGGGTTCATAGATTGGAACCATGTATTTGCTGTGTGAAAATGACAGGAAAAATCACGTCACCTGGAACTTCAGCTCCTCATTGATGAACGAGGATAATAATAGTCTCTGGTATATAAGGTAGTGGCAAGGGTTGGCTGGGATCATTTGAGCAAACGTACTTAATTCAGCACCTGTACCTTAGTATGTACTCAAATGTTGGCTGCGTCTTTGTGTGAACCTGGACAAGCTACCCCCACTTCTAGGCTCTGATTTTTGTCATCTGACAGATATGATACATACTACATCATCCAAATACCATCTAAAGAGTCTTTCAACCCCAGGATCTGGTTATTCTAAACCAAGTGGCTCCAGTTCTCTGTCTCACTCTTGAGCTAATCAACTCTGCTTCACACAAGTCCTGAATCCACCTCTCCATTATTTTAGAGAGGTTCATAGAGGTTAGGAGGAAGAACTCAGACGATGGACACCAGTTTGAGGCCTGTCTCTTGCTGAATGCCTGCCCTTGAGAAAATTGCTTGACTTCTCTGAGCGTCTGTTTTCCCGTTTTAAATGAGAACAATAATGCAACCTCAGGGTCATTAGGAAGATTAGATGAAATCATGCCTTTTAAGTGCTGGGCACATTAGAAGTACTTAACACATGTTAGTAATTTTTGTTAGGAGAGTATGTTTTTAAATAGGCTGTGTAGCTGGGTGTGGTGGTGCACACCTGTTATTCCAGCATTCAGGATGCTGAGGCAGGAGGAGGATCATGTGAATTCGAGACCAGCCTGTGCTACATAGTGAGACTGTCTCAAAAAACAAAAGCAAAAGGCAGTGTAGGAATGAAATGAGAGAATCTGCATAAACCATGTAGAAGACTGCCTTACCATGATACATGTTTGATAAATATTAGCCTCTCTTCACCTAACCCTGTTTATCCTATTCTTTTTCTTTCATTCTTTCCTTCTCTCTTCTTCCCTCTCTCCTTTCCTCTCTCTCTTTCATTGAACCCAGGGCCTTTGCTATAGTCCCACATTTTTTTGTTTTTCTTTCTTTTTTTTTTTTTTTTTGGTACTGAGGATCCAACTGGGGACCTTGCACTTGAGAGGCAGGTGGTGGAACCACTAAGCTAAATCCCCGGCCCCAAGATTTTTTTGTTTTGTTTTGTTTTCTTTTCTTTCCTTTTTTTTGGAGACAGGATCTTGCTAAGTTGCCTAAACTGGGCTTGAACTTTAAATACTCTTGCCTTAGCCCCCTGCATAACTGACATTACAGGTGGCTTGTTTCGTTTTGTTTTCTATTTCACAACAGGGACATACAGTGAGACTTTTAAACCAGTCAATATAAGATACATATTTTGCAATGAAAGTCACTGAGTTTAATGCTTTATCCATAGTTGATTTTTCTACCTTCGATAATACCTTAATGCCCAGATTGGCTTTGTGAGAAGAAAAGTTGTAGTAGAAAAGGTAACTGTTATGGACTGGGAGTCACGTAGCCTATCTAAGGTCAAGCGGGTTGTTTGCTTGCCATGTGACACTGGGCAAATCACTTCACCTTGAGCCTTACTTCCTGTGCATTTACCTGGTTGTTTTAAGGCTCATATAATTAATAAATGTGAAAGGTATCTTTTAAAAAAATTGTGAAGTCCTTTATGAGAATAAATGGAAACTATGTTGCCAATAAGGCCCAATACTGGATAACAAGAGCAACTCAGCTTCTTAGCTGAAATCTTTATTTGAACCAATTAGGAGATGTGGATATAGCCTGAGACATTACATTTCTTGAACAACGATAACTTTGCAATTAACATAAATGTGTATATATACTTTAAAAAAAATGGCCACATTCCTTAAGTTTCTTGAGTGTTTTAATTCAGTCTTTTTTTTTTTCAGTGTTGGAGATCGAACTCAGGACCTTGCACTTGTGAGGCAGGTGCCGTGCCACTGCGCTAAATCTCTGGCCCCTAATTTAGTCTTATATACTTCCTCCAGTTACAATGCAGACACTTTAGGTAGCTTTTCAATCACATTTTCTTTTGGAAGAATTTGAAATCTTAACTAAACTGAGAGCTGTTTTAATTCTGATCCAGCCATGGTATAAATATTAGTGTCTTTCATTTGTTTGCATTTTTCATAAATGCTTTCACCTCTAAAATCCCATTTGATCCTTGAAATCAACTCTAGGAGATACATAGATTCATTTGACAGAGGAGGAAATTGAGGTTTATAAAAAATTAGAAGATGAAAAAGAAAATTAGAAGATGATAGGTCTAAGAGCTAAATGGTAGCTTGAGACTTTCAGTTGAATACTTTCTACATAAGGGCTCCATGAATTGGCTCCAAAGCTAACACTGAGTACCAAATTTGGTTTATAAAATTTGGTTCACCTGCAAGTTTCTAAGAAGAAGCTATAGAGCTTTCATCAAACTCTGAAAAGGTACTGTCTTAGTTACTTTTCTCATTGCTGAGACAAAGTACCCAACACCCAAAGTAAAAGGAGGAAAGGTTTATTTTGGCTCACAGTTTGTAGAGGTTTCAGTCCATAATCGACTGGCTCCAAGGCAGAGTGGCATGGTGGAGAGGCATCGCAGAGGAGAAACAGTTTGATGGGCAGAGGGCAGCAAAGCAGAAGGCAGCAAGCAGTGAAGTAGCGAGTGACCACAGCAGCCCTCTTTGTATCCCTCATATTTTGTCCATGCTACCCACCCTTAGGATGGGTAGCACTCACCCCCAGGGAGGGCCATCCTATTATCCACTCTCAGAACTATGCCAAAGCAATCAGTGGTCTGATTTAGTAATCACATACCCTTGATCTCAGCATCACACACTCTAGATCCAGCCACCCCTGAAAAGCCCCACCTATGACCACATGAGGCTTTTTGGGGACATCTAGACACATGCCATAGTAGTAACCTTTGAGCTTGGTGTGGTGGGGCACACCTGTAATCACTGCACTTTGGGAGGCTGAAGCAGGAAGATCACAATTTTGAGCCATGCCTTGGCAATTTAGCAAGCCCTGGGTTTTAAAAAAGGGCTGGGGAGCCAGGGATTTAGATCAGTGGTTTCGGCACTTGCTGCACAAGCACAAGGACCGGAGTTCGATCCCCAGTACCAAAAAAAAAAAAAAAAGGGCTGAGGATGTAGCTTAGTGCAAAGGCCCTGGCTTCAATTCCTGGTAATTCAAAGGTGTGTGTGTGTGTGTAGGTTTACATTTGACTCCATAAAGATTAAAATAGCAGTATCTTTTTTTTTTTTTTTTTTTTGATACTGGGGATCGAACTCGGGTCTTTGCACTTGCACAGCAGGCGGCGAAACCACTGAGCTAAATCCCCGGCCCTGCATACTGTACTTTGATTGCATTTTCCAACCTACAGCTGTTCAGATAACCCTGAGAGTGTTGAACACAGAAATGATGTCATTTGCTGCTGGAATAAGAGGGAACGAGGCTTGCGACCTTCACAGCTTGTCCCTTTGGCAGCCCCATTTAGTTGCAACCTTGTTCTCTATGTCTCATGGAAATAATTTTTGTTTAGATGTTTTTCCTGAGTTGACTTGGTTTGAAAGGCTCAGGACCTGTCTCTGTCAGATGACAATAGCTGAGCCCTGCCTCCCTTTATTTTATATTATCTTTCTTGTTAGAGATGTTATCTGAAAGCCATGTCAAGTCCGCTGTTAGAAAGGGCAAATAGCCAACAAAGAAATGCAGTGTTTTCCGCTTTCTAACTAAGAGCAAATTTTAGAGAGACGAAATACCATTTTTGGAATCCCTAGATATTACCAGGCAGAGAAGAAAGAGAATTCCTAGTGAGTCTGCTATTCCCTGTGGGCTCTCATTTGCTTAGTGTGTGTTCCTGAATAGTTTTGGCTTGGGAGCTGGGCAAGGTGGGCTAACTACAATCCTTTTCCTGCCTCCTAGAGTGCTTGACTTTGAACCTGAAGAAACTCATTGACTCTGTCAAGCCCTCCTTTTCATCGGTAAATTAGGGAGACTTTCACGTGCCTTCCTAGGTTCCTTGACCACTGCACAGGATGTTAAGAAACTCCATAGAATGAAATTTCAGGAAAAAAACAGACAATTTGAGCATCTTAGAGGAGATTCTCCATGGCAAGGCTGCTGTGTGTCATTACAACACATTAGGCAGAGTAGTCACATTGTCCTTATTTAAGAAACATTCTTAACATGAATTGTTCTATGTTTTTGTTCTTTTTCTTCAGGTGTTGTTTCGATTGATGACCTTTGTCTTGAATGCATTTATTCTTCGCTTCCTATCGAAGGAAATTGTCGGCATAGTGAATGTAAGGTACGTGAGGTCTCACTCTGGCCCTGTCCACAGTTCACATCCCTGGTCAAATTATGCTTGTGAGTCACCCTTAGATTTTAGAAATTGGGACCTTTACCAGAAGCAGAGTGTTTTGGCAGTGGGCTGAGGAGAAGTGTGGGGAGGTGGGGGATGAGCAGGCCATGTTGCTTTTAATGGACCCATGGAGTGTTTTCCATTAACAGCCTCCAAATGCACATTTCTTTGCCAGCTGTTTCAATTTTCTTGCTCTTAGAACCCAGGAGAAGAGTGGGAGTAATTCATTGCAAACCTCATCTCAGGTATAATCCTGTGTTCTTGTCCTGCTAACAGGAAAGGAAGCAGGAGTTCTGCAGTTTGTGAGGATGCGTTTCATAATTACAGAGCTGGAGCTGCCACCTTCTTTCCCTCCTCAATGATTTTATAATTGCGATCTGGTAACTGGGATCTGAGTTTGCATCCTTGTCATTGGTTCCTTGGAGGCTCTTAGAAAGCTGAACTTGCTTTGTCTTTTAGACTCAGCTTGTTTTTTCTACTCACCTCTTTTCTTTTAAGGGACACCCACATATGCTTTGTATTCATAAATGACACAAAAGTAAGTGTTTTATACAAAAATATTATATACAAAAGTAAGTATTTTATACAAAAGTGTTATATACAAAAGTATATAAAATGATGTGAGTGCTCAGAATACCTCAGCTTCTAAGGTGTTTCTTTGTCCTAATAAACAAGACAGTATGTTCTAGACAGCATTTCATATCTGCTACTTACCAAGCACATTGTCTTGAGCCTAGTGGCAGTTCTCAAACTTTGATTAGCAAAGGAATGTCTGGGAGTTTTACAATAGATAGGGCTGAGGAAGGGCCCAGGAATCTGCAAGCTCCTTGGATGATTTTGAAGCAGAGACCATGTTTTGAGAAATAGTGTTTTAAAAGCAGAAAGGACAAAGGCCAAATTTTCTTACGTGCTCTGATTTTTTCTCCCCATGCAACCTTAGATTAGCAGGTGCCTACTTTGACAGCTCTTGAGTGGCCTGCCCACCTGGTTAAGGTGTGGGTCTGTCTCCTCATTTGCACTGTTGCACAGAAGCACTGCAGGACACTGCAGGACCCATGCACAATCTCAAAGACCTTAACCTTGAACTCCTTCCACGCTGGCTTCATCTAGACCACTGCCTGTTGAGCTAGGGAAACCTCAACTGCTCCTTGCTAAGGCTGAGGAAGGCTTACTCAGGTGCCATGCGTCGCCAGGGTACCTAGGCAGTCCTTGCTGAGCTGGGTTGCAGCAGCCTCTGGAATGGTTGCCAGCCTTACTGCCTGCCCTGAGATTCTTTGGGCCAGTGCCTCCAAACAGTAGTGTGTTCAGCTTCTCTCACAGGGACTTTCAAGTCACTTCTAGTTTCAGTGTGATCCAGAAGTCCCCTTGCTATGTGGCTTATTCTTTTCTTCTCCTTCAGGTCAGGGCTACTCTATGTCTGCCCATATTCGTGCCTGCAGGCTTTTGGAGTCACTGTAGCAGTTTCTATCTTAGCTGTCACTCTGTAGGCACACATTCATGTGTGTCTTGTTTGGTTCCTACCCTGTTGTTCACATGGATTGGACAGGTGAAAAGTGCTGTGGGAGCACAGTGCCCTTCCCCTGGCATCAGTGGTGTGTGATCAAGACCTTTTCTTCTCCCTGTTGCTGGAAAAACCCCAGAAGTTCTCCCTATGAAAAAACAGGAAGCCTTACTGATTTCTGCTTTTTCTTTACAGACTAACACTACTTTACTCTACCACTGTCTTCTTGGCCAGAGAGGCCTTCCGCAAAGCTTGTCTGAGTGGAGGTGCCCAGCGGGATTGGAGCCAGACCCTCAACCTCCTATGGCTAACGTGAGTTGTGGTTTAGCAGGAGATGGGTTTCAGGAAGGCAAGTGTAATGAGTGTTGTAAGTGAAACAGCAGCACCTGCCTAACGCTGAATTGTCTCCGGCTTGAGTCTTGCAGGGGGTCTCTGGGGAATAGGCCTGTGATAGGAAGTGGAAAATGTCCGTATTGTTGGAGATTCTTGGTTCATTTTCTCTGTGATTGTCCAGAAGCTGGGAGGAGGCTCTACGTGGGGTTCCTGGTCCAGGTTTCCAGCCCTGGTGTTGTCCTCTTTGAGGCGGTTTCTGCTATTCCTGATCAACCAGTCTGGGCCCCACTTGGCTTGCACCATTTTTAAATTTTATTTATTTATTTATTGTGTGGTACAGGGGATCGAACTTGGGACCTTGTGCTTTCGAGACAGATGGCGGCACCACTGAGCTACATCCCCAGCCTCATTTTTTTTATTCCTAATCTTTTTTGAGTTTTTAACAAACACTTAATATTTTTTAAAGCCTTTTAAAGGTTTTTTTTTTACATCTTTCTTCACTTTTGTCATGTGATTTTGGTTCTGAGTTTTTTAGAATATTCTTGAAAACTAAGTATATCAGTTAAAAATTATAATGGCTTTTCTGCACAGAGGGCTGGTGGTTGGGGTTGTTTTCCGATGCTGGTCTTACATCATTCCTTATTGCCTCAACAGAAATGACTGTCAAAGGGCTGATAGGTGTTTATTTTATTCAATTACCCAGTCACATTTAAGTGCTCTGTGGTGCACATGTGAAAGGATATTGTGCAGTGACTGTTGGTTATTTGGGGTGCAAGAACCTGCTAAATACTGTCAGTCGTTCTAAGTACAGACAGCAATCATTTTCTTTTGGAAATTTTGCTTACCAAGTTAGTATGAGCCAGTGGATAGGAATGTAGGCTTTGGAGTTAGATCAGGATTGAATCCTGCTTCTGCTCTTGCCTACCTATTCATGACCTGGGCCAAATTACCCCAAGCCTGTCAGCCTCAGTTTCCTCATCTTCAGAATGGGGATAATGATGGAGATCATTGTGAGATGTCAGTGGGATAAAGGGCTTGAGTCATAGTGCTGGGAATGTGGGTAGTGCCTACATTACCTACAAATTGCAAATTATTATGGTAGCTGTTTTATTTTGACTCTTTAATTCACTGTTACTATTTCACTGTATATTTATATTTATTTTAAAATTTAATATTTTAAAAACATTTTTTCTGCCCTTCTAGAGTCCCATTAGGTGTGTTTTGGTCCTTATTCCTGGGCTGGGTCTGGCTGAAGTTGCTTGAAGTACCTGATCCTGATGTGGTCCCCCACTATGGAACTGGAGTGGTGTTGTTTGGTCTCTCAGCAGTGGTGGAACTTCTAGGAGAGCCCTTCTGGGTCTTGGCACAAGCACATATGTTCATCAGGCTCAAGGTCAGTATGCCCTCTGCTGTGTGGGCATTGTGAAGAATGAAGTTAAAGTGTTAGTTTTTTTGATATGAGAGAATTAGTTTTTTCAGACTTGGATCTTAAACAACTATTTGGAAAAAGGTAACATGATCACTTAAGTTGATTTACTTATGAGATGGCCTGTGCTTAAGTTTACCTTTGCTGCCAGGCGTGGTGGCGCACACCTGTGATCCCAGCATGCGGGAGGCTGAGGCAGGAGGATTGCCACGTGTTCGAGGGCAGCCTGGAGTACATAGTGAGTTCAAGGCCAGCCTGAACTCCGTAGTGAGACTCTGTCTCAAAAAACCATATAATAAAAAAAAAATTTTTTAATAAAGTTTACCTTTGCTATACTATAATTAAAAACCAGTTTGCTAATAAGGAAGTTATTAGGTTATTAGTTTAAATCAGAATTTAGAAAGACCTTAAAAACAAAAAAGAATTTAGGAGGACTATAAAGCATTCCAGAATTTTGTGGTGATTCTATTTAGTTGAATACTAATATTGACCTTTCATCTTTAAAAATATATTTAATATGTGTAAAATTATATATAATATATATATATAATATATAATGTATAAATTTAAAACATAACCTGCTGAAGATGCGTGAACCTACCATTCAGCCTGAGAAGTAAACATCACCAGTGGTTATGTCCAGCCGTACTCTGCTCCCTCCACCAGGGTAACTACCACCCTGGATTTTCTGTTTGTCATTCCTTTGCATCTTTACTTTTTGATAATGTTCATAAAGTACACCTTTACCCTGGATTTCCTGTTTGTCATTCCTTTGTGTCTTTACTTTTGATAATGTCTGTGAAGTGCACCTTTACCATGTGTTTGCAGGTGATTGCTGAGAGCTTGTCAGTAATCCTCAGGAGTGTCCTCATAGCTTTGCTTGTGCTGTGGTTGCCTCACTTGGGACTGTACATCTTCTCTTTGGCCCAGGTAAGAATTTTTATGTAGTCTATGTTTTTCTGCTTTTTCTTCTTGTTCCCATTACTATGTGTTTTATGTTTGCAGCATTCATGCAATATGGGAAAGTTGGGAATGCCAGAAGGCTGACTCAGTGACATTGTCGAGTATCAAAAAGTCCTTTTAGACATTCTGTGGCCGTGCCCGTATCAAACTGATCTTTGATTGTCTGATACTATTATTGAGGGGAAAAAAAGTTAAGGAGGTGGGTGGGAATAAAATTGTATATGTATTATTTTCCTTGGCTTTTAACCAGTTGCTTACAGAATGGAGGAAACTCTGACAAGCCTATTTTAAACTTAGATTGAAATCTCACATAATTCAGAAAAAATGAATCAAGTCAGAGTAGGTACATTTTCAGTTTTAGCAATTTTGACTTCATTTCTATCTCATCATTTCTAGTTCTACTTCATATTCCTGAGTCTAGTAAAAATACAACTAGAGCACAGGGCTATTTTACTCTTTTTTCTTCCATTTAGTTTACTGGTACATTTTAGGTATACACAGGGCTATTTTAAAAAATGAAACCTAAGATTAGATATTTACCTAACCATCTTATAGTACAAAACAGTTTGTAGTTTTTAGTAGTATATTGGAAGACAAATTAAGATTCTTAGTAATGCTTTATGTGAAATTCTTTCCCATGTTCTAGGCAAAAAAACAATGTATGTTTTTGTGGAACACAGTAGAGCTAGATTTAAAATTAATAAAATAAGAATGAGAATTGTCTGCAAAGGCAGTTTGTAAGCAGTTGAACATTTCAGAGAAGTTATCTGTGGGGTTTTTTTTGCCACGTTTTTTTGGGTCTAGGACTACAGTTCTCATCATTTATCATTGTTTTTATACATTCTGTGTAGTAGAATATGAAGGCTACAGAGATACCTGCCTATTGGATGACTCTTCTTAGGAAAGTTGCTCACATTATGAGTATCTCATTGTCATAACTCCTACCTGGGACACATCATTGGTCAGTGATGATGAACCTTTTAGAGTTTTTAATGATACAAACAGCCTGCTACAACATACATGCTATAGGTTTGCCACCACTGTCATAGGTCATAGTTTGGCAAGACTCATTCTGAGTTTATTTGCTTTTTTTTTTCTGTTTGTTTGTTTTGTGGTACTAGGGATTGAACCCAGCAGAGCTTTCACACTGAGCTACATTGTCAGACCTTTTCCTTTTTCTTTTTTCTTTTTGAGATATGGTCTCACTAAGTCACTAAGTTGCCCAGGCTGGGCTTGAATTCATGATCCTCCTCCCTCAGTGTCCCAGAGTGCTAGGATTACAGACTTACACAACCTCACCTGGCTTTATTTGCTTCTTTACCATAAAACTTCAAGGAACTCTTCTGTGGGGTATTCACTGTCAGTGTCTGTGAAAGGGCTAAGAGCTAGAAACACTTTATAGGAGTGGATGACCCCACCCAAACGTCCCCTTTGTCATATCTGCCTCTAAGTTCATCCTTAAACTGGCCTGTTGTCCTGTGTTATCGTATATCAAATAAAAGGGTAACTCCAGAACAAATACCTCTTGTAACTCAGCAATAATGACAAAACAATTAAAAAGTGGGCAAAGGATCTGAATAGATATTTTCGCAAAGAAGATATATAGATAAATGGCCAATAAGCATTTAACCTGAAAAGATAATCAACAACACTAGTCATTAGAGGAGGGCAAATCAAAACCACCGCGAGATACTACTTCATACCCATTGGGGTGGCTATTATAAAAGCAAAACAGAGTTCAATCCCTGGTACCAAAAAACTCCCCCAAAAACCAAAAACAAAATAACAAGTGTTGGTGAGGATGTAGAAAAACTGGAACCCTAGTACATTGTTGGTGGGCATGAAAAATGGTGCTGCTGCTGTGAAAAACACTATGGTGGGTCCTCAAAAATGACTGAGCAATTCTACTCCTAAGTATTTATACCCCAGAGAATTGAAAATAGCTCATCAACAAAAACGTATGCGTGAATGTTCATAACACTATTTCCAGTGGCCAAAAGGTAGAAACAACACATGAATAAATGGATAAACAAAATATGGTATATCCATAGAGTAGAATATTACTTAGCCATAAAAATGAAGTACTGATACATAATACACCACGAATGAACCTTGAACACATTATACTAAGTGAAAGAATTAGACACAAAAGGCTACATATTGTATGAGTCCATTAATATGTAATATCCAGGATAGGCAAGTCCATAGAGACAGAGCAGATTAGTGGTTGCTAAGGGATGGGAGAATGGGCAGTAATTGCTTAATGGATAGAGTTTCCTTTTGGGTGATAAAAATATTCTGGAATTAGGTAGTGATATTGGTTGTACAATAACGTGAATGTACCAAAAAGCCATTGAATCATACGCTTACGATTTTGATTTTTTTATTACGTGAATTTTTTCTCAGTAGAGGAGGGTCATATGGTTCCAATACTTTTGCATTAAGATTAGCTATAGGTTGTCACTTTCTCCAAGGCTGTGGTCAGCAGGAAAATGAGGACAGGCAGAGAAGGGCACTTGGCATCGGGCAGTTTGGTTCACAGCAGTGCTATTTGTCTCTTAAGCACTCAAGGTCTGAAAGAAGGCTGATACATAGCGGACTTCATCCTCCGGTGTGGTGTGGTTGGAGTGGAGAGTAGAGGAGCCTAAGCCTGCTAACCTGCAACTCCTCGTGTTTCTTGCTGTGTGACTTTTTATAAGAGAAGCCTTGATGTGGCCAGGTGACAGCAGTCTGGCAGTCCCAGGGCTTGAGCTAGTGTGTGCTGGTGTTCTTGGGGAAAAGGGCTTGTAAAAGGGGCCCTTTTTGATTATCCTCTCCAACCTACAAACAAAAGCCTGGCTGCTACTCCTGGCCAGAAGCCATTCCTTTGTCTGGGATGGGTGGAAGGAGACTTTGGCCCTCTTATCATCCCTCCCCTTCCTCCCCCATCCTATAGTAGCTCTCACCCTGCCCATGTGCTGGGTGGAGAGGAAAGAGCCAGTGGCTCAGTTCTGCTTTGTAATCATAAATGTCACAGGTTTCCGGGGTTTATGGAAAATCCACAATCCTAGATGATGGCAGGTTGATGGCTATCAGCAGTCATGATATTTGGGCCTACACAGTATGCTGGGTAGGTGGGAGAGCTGTTCTAAAAATCTTGTGAGAATTTGCAGTAAATATTTAATTTTTAAAAATTCTTATAGTAAAAGACACATTGTCATCAATCCCCCTCAAAACAAAACAAATCCCTTATGTCAAACACAATTATCCCATAATTCTTGCCACTTTTTGAAGCAGTCCTAGAAGTTCTCATTCATGAGAGTCTTTATGAAGTATGGTAAAAAATTGCTGCTTTATGAAGTATGACCAAAATGCTGCTTCCAAGTGCTATCCAATGGAAAGCCAAGCTTATAAAAACATTATGGTATTGGGGCTGGGGATTTAGCCCAGTGGTTCTGCCACCTGCCTCACAAGCACAAGGTCCTGAGTTTGATCCCTGGTACCAAAAAGCATCCAAACATTATGGTATGTTTTCATCCATCTTATTCATGAGATCTGGAACCATGTGACTTCTGGCTCTTCCCAAAGTTAAAATGACCATTAAATGCTTAGCATGGATTCAGGACATTGAGGCATCTATGACAGCAAAAATAAAGACACCCATGAAATCGGACTTCCAGAACTGTTTCAGAAAGTGGCAAGGATGATGGGTTAAGTATGTTCAAGGAGGGAGAGAATTTTTTTTTTGGTACTGGGGATTGAACTCAGGACCTTGTGCTCTCGAGGCAGGTGTGGTGCCACTGAGCTAAATTCTCTGCCCCGAGGCAGAGAATTTTGAGGGGGGGAGACAATTGCAATGTATTTTACTATAAGTTAAAAACAAAAACCAGAATTTTGCTGTTAATCATGTTTTGTATCTGACATTGTGGCAGTTGAGCAAGTGGCTGTCATGGAAGTTATATTCTGCCACTTAGGTGAAGTATTTGGAACACTGCAGGAAGATGCTACAGTGGAGCTGGATCTGACTGAATGGCCCTGTTTTCCAGAGGATGAAGCACTGCTCAATTGAAAATGCAATTACTTAAGACAGTTCTATTTCTTGTGCTCGCTTTGGCAGCACATATACTAAAAGACAGTTCTATTTCTTGATTAGCCTTTGAGGTTAAATTTATGGACGTAGTATAATTATACCTATATGAAAACAGTTTAACTTCAACCTATTATTTTCTTTTTTCAGCTTTTTTATACTGCAGTTTTGGTGCTTTGTTATGTATTTTATTTCACAAAGTTACTGAGTTCCCCAGAATCAATCAGGCAACAAACTCTTCCTGTCTCCAGAATAACAGATCTGTTACCCAGTGTTACAGGAAGCAGAGTAAGTAATACATTCTGTATTTTATCATTTTAATCAGAAGATGGTTATCCTTGAGAAAAGGAAATTGTAACTGGTTTATTGTTGTAATAGGAAAAAATAATGTTATAGCTCATATTCATTGAGGGCTTTTTATGTGCTAGGCCAGGGTTCCTAAATCTTGCACTGGTAACATTTTGGGCTGGACAGTTCTTTGTTACAGGATCTGTCAAGTGCACTGTAGAATGTTCAGCAAAATCTCTGGCCTCCACTTACTAGATTCCAGTAGTAATCCACCCCTCTGCCACCCAGTGCAACACCCAGAAACATCTCCAGACACTGCAAAATTTCTCCCAATTGAGAAGCACTGTGCTAGGCCTTATGCCAAATGCTTTACATACCTTATTCAAGGCTTGTAACTGACAGACAGACACTGTTACTATTTCTATTTTAGAGCGGAGGAGTCAGGCCTTAGCAAATAAATACCTGCTCAAGGTGAGGTTTGGTGTAAGGATGGGAGCCTGGGGGAGCTCTAATGCCAGCAGATCAAGGCCCTAACCAGTGTGCTCCTCACTCTCTGCTCTGCTGTGTCCTTTGGGTTTTCTTTGGAATGACCTCTGGCATAGGTGGTCCAGAGTTCTGACCAAGGAATGACTTCCAGTGGTTTCTTTATTTAGCTGTGAGCTCAGTCTTTCTCACACTTTACTTTCCCATCCAGAACACTGAGGAGTCTGGGGCCTGATGTGTGGTAGTGAAGTATAATCTTTTTCTACCCACCTCTTCACTCTGTCCATTTGCCTCTGCTTCCTGCTCTGTATAGTAAGTCCTGCTGTCTACCACCCAGAAGTGCGCATAGAATGAAATGCCACATTGCCTCCCCCAGACACTCTGTGAACTGCTCTATGAGGGGCACATTTCCTTTTCTCCATAAGTGTTTGCTTGCTCGATGTGGTGCACTTTATTGTGACCAAATTATGAGAAACCCTTTTCTATTCTTCTAGAATTCTGTCTTCACAGATATTTGTCTAGGCTTATAATAAATTAATGACACCTCAAATAATGGCTATCTTTTATATTCCTTGATGTTTCTGAGTAATTTTTTTTTTTTTTTTGAGTACCGGGGATCGAACTCAGGTCCTTAGCTTGTGAGACAGGCAGTGAAACCACTGAGCTAAATCCCCATTTCTGAGTAATTTAATATGAAAGATCTGCTAATATTTAAGTAAAGCTGAAGAGCTGAGGACTTTGACATAGTAAGTGTATACTCACGATAATTCTGTGTTGAGTACTGTGTCATGTGCCCTGAGGGGCATCTCAGCCCTCAGAACTTGCGTTCTAGTGGGGAGATCAGATAGGTACTCAACTACACAGTGTAGTCTGACTACAAGACTGTGTGTGTAACTGATGTTATCAGAATAGAAACACAGAGACAGAACTGATGTATTCCATCTGGGAGCACCAAGAAAGGCTGCATGGAAGAAGCTGCTTTTGAACTGGATCTTGACACATGGGTGGGCAGAGGTGAAATGTGTATGTGTAGTAGCAGTCATGACCACAAGGAAGGAAAGAGTTGTTTTCTGAAGCCAGGTGTGGTAGCGCACACCTGTAATCCCAGCACTCAGTAGGCAGATGCAGGAGGACCACTGCAAGTTCGAGGCCAGCCTGGGCTACATAGTGAGTTCAAGTCCACCCTGTAATATATAGTGAAACCCTGTCTCAAAACCATACCCCTCCCAAAAGAACTTTTTTGGGGGCCTGTTATATGCACATGATTGTGTTGGAATTGAAAATGCAGAATGACTGGGGTACTTAGGTTGCCTGGATCGCGAAAGGGAAAGAAAACAAAATGTGGACAGAGGTTATGAAGGGAGGTAAACTGGGCCTGCTGGGCTAGGGCCAGGTAGTAGTGGCCTCAGTGCTGTGGAATTTGGGCTTAATTCAGGAGTGGTGGAGCCGAATGAAAAGTTTTTAAGGGCCAGGGATTTAGCTTAGTGGTTCCGCCGCCTGCCTCGCAAGCTAAGGACCCGAGTTCGATTTCCGGTACCAAAAAAAAAAAAAAAAAAAAGCTTTTAAGTAGTACTGTGGACCAACTGCCTATATAGAGGACTTACCATCCATTATAAATCTGTAGTGTCTCATTTTCTCTCATGCAGCCCTCACACTAGCTCCATGAGGATCCCATTTTGCAGATGAGAAAACTATTAAATATCTGACTCATTGCCTTTGGACTAAGTCAAGGAGCTGCACTTTGAGCTGCAGTCTCCAAGCTTGACTCTGAAGCATGGGTGGCCAACCTTTTGGCTTGCCTGGCCACACTGAGTGAAGGTGGACTGTCTTGGGCTGCATATACTGTATATAATATAGTCAATGTGTGTAAGCAACAAAACTTCCATAGCTATAAAAAGAGGGCAAGTAGCCCATGGGCTGAGGGTCAAACATGCCTGCTAAAGCCTAAACTTACAATGAGAAGAGTGGGCTAGGGAGAAAGAGGCAAAAAAGCTCAATAGGCAGTTGTGGAAATCTTCTAGGTGAGAAGTGAAGAGAACAGCAGGAAGATGAGTGGAGATGGGAGGATGAACAAGGCTGGGGCTGAGTCAGTGGCCCAGGAGCAACTGGGATAGGCAGAGCAAGGGGCACAGGAGAGAGTGAGTGCTGTACGGGGTGGTGGAGGTGACGGAGGGCAGAGGTAGGACCATGACCTCAGGCTCTCTGGTGACTCTTGCCAGTGTGGGACGGATGCGGCTAATTGATCATCCTGAGTCAGAAGAGTTTGGGAAGTAGAAGAGTGATTCAGGCTAAGGCAGGATGAGCCTCTGAGTTTCAGTTTCAGACCTTTCTTAGAGTTACTGCTAACCACCTTTTGTCTTCCAAGCCTCAGTTTCCTTGTCAGTACATTGAGCCTGTGGAAGGTTTGTTAGAAGATTCTGGAAAAGTTTGTGTCTCTTTAGACAAGCTCAGTAGTACCAACCTGACTTTGTGAAGTCAGTCTCTGGCCACCCAGGTGACAAATTTATTCTGAATAGAATGGTAAAAGTCCACAGAATTATCCTGAGAACAACCTCAGTCTTGGATTGAACTGCCTGCCTATCGTTAATAGCACTTTGAGGTAGTAAGCAGTAGGACCATCCCTTCTGAACCATGGACCTATTTAATTTGAAGGCATTAGAAGAAAAGAATTCTTGGCATGAGCTTTCAGGTTAGATTCACTGTCATGATATCACCTTCTGAGGAACTTTTTCTGTAAAAAGCTCAGTCATCTTTCCAAACCCATTCATAAGCTACTAGCAAGTAGACTTCACAATAGCCTTATTGGCAAACTCTGCTTTTTGTTTCCTTTAAAAAGAGCACAGGTAGCTGGGTGTCATGATGCCTGCCTGTAATCTCAGCAATCAAGGAGGCTGAGGCTGGAGCATTGCAAATTCGAGCATAGCTCACACAACTTAGTGAGCCCCTGTCTCAAAAGAAAAAATAAAGGACTGGGGATATAGCTCAGTGTTAAGGCCCTGGGTACAACCCCCAGTACTGCAAACAAAACAAAACCATAAGTACTTCTGGGCAGACTCCTCGGAAGACCAGCATGGCATGGGGCAGGGAGTCATGTGAGAGGGAAGGTGCTATGCCCTCGTCTTCGCTGGTGCTCACTTCCCTGGAGCTGACTGGACAGAATCAGCCACTGTTAAGGATGAGTGGTCCACAGTGTCCCCTAGTGGTGATAGTGGTGATAGTTGTCTGGTGATGCCCTGGTGTAAACATTTTCTGGCCCAGTTTCCTTCTCATCGTGGAATATTTACTCTGCAGCTAGAGCTACCCTGGCATCTGCTCCGGGTTCAGTGATACCCTGCAGGTACCACACTTTGGGTGGATTCAGACCTGTCCTAGTGTTTAGAAGAAAGGTTCAGAAACCCATAGGTGAGAATGGGGACTGCAGTGACCCTTGCTTTCAGAGGTGCTCTAGACTTTGCCTGTCATACTGTTAGCTACCAGCCACATGTGGCCATAGAGCCTTTTGAAATGTGGCTGTTCCTTAGATGAGCTGTGAGTCCAAGAAACACTGGATTTCAAAGATGTAATATGGAAAAAATAATGTTAAATGCCACTCGTATTTTTTACATTGATTACATGTTCAAAATATAATATTTGGATCAAATAAAATACATTAAAATTAGTTTCACTTGTATCTTTTTCCTATTCATTGTGTCTGTTGGACAATTTAATAATTGCACTTCTACTAGACAGCAGTGCTCTAAACAGATGGGCTTTAGGCCAAGAATGGGGGCCCATATGACTGGGGCAAGTTCCAGGCCTGCCCATCAGTGCATTTCCGCGGCTGAGACTCACCTTTTGGAGAGGGGAATGGATTTGGACTGTGACCCACTCTTGCCCTTCCAAAGACCCATTTGAAATCCTACCATTCAGAACTGGACTAGTGCTGAATGGTAGGACTAGCAAACTTTTCAAAGTACAGGTATTCTAGGGTTAAAAACTTCTGGGGTCCTGGGATGTCTGTGACTCCCAGAGGGAACTGGGGGAGGTCAGATGGCCACCCCACTCCATTTTGTGATCAGCTCTCTGGCTTTGAGGACACCTGTCTCTTATAGGTTGATCTTTACTCTGCCTGAGTGTTTGCTTCTTTCTACCCTCTTTGCTTTTAGGAAGTAGGCAGTTTGGTGCCCCTTGGGAGATTCAGAAGGGCCATATCTGAAGTTTTGTTTTATCCTTTCCTCTGTCATACCAATTCTGAGTGATTTGCCTGACCTGGGAAGGCTGAATTTCTTTTGAAATATACGCGTATACTTCATATACTTGGTGAGAAAAGGCATTAAGGTATGGGGTACATGGAACAGAATTTGTTCTGCAGCTTGGCATATTTCAGACGCTTAAAAAAAATTTTTTGTAGTTCTAGGGATCAAACCCAGGGAATCATGCATGCTAGATAAGCACTCTACTACTGAGCTACATCCCCAGATTTTCAGACTTTTTTTTTTTTTTTTTAAAGAAAACAGTAAGCTGTATGTATTAGATATAGTCACGGTACTGGCTGGCCCTCCAAGGGGACAGCAGCAATTCTTTAGGAGTCTCTGTATGTGAAATTTGGACATGTCCCTTACATACTTTGTCTTCATGTTTAGTGATTTTATTAGTTAGCTCTCTGTTACTATAACAAATTAATGGATAAAGAAAATGTGGTATTTATACACCATGGAACACTACTGTGCTGTAAAGGATAAATTTAAGTCATTTGTAGGAAAATGGGTGCACCTTGAAACCATAATGTTAAGTGAAATAAATCAGACACACAAGCTAAAATATCATGTGGTTTCTCTTACATGAGAAACCTAAAGTCTAAATAAAGAGCAAATTAAAAGATAGATAATAGGAAACAGGGAGATAGATCTTTTGCAAAGGGGAAGGAGATCAAGAAATGGACGAAGCAGGGAGAGAGAGGAGGAGAAGGGCATAGAAAAAGAATTGAGATGTGTTATATACATGTACCACTCCCCACAATGAATGTAATCATTATGTACTGCATACATGTACTAATAAAAATGAAAATAAATAAAAAATCAACTTATAAAGAGCAAAGATTTATTTTGGCTTACAGTTTGGAGGTTGCAGTTTCAGGCCTGTAGTGAAGCAGCACATGGTCAGAGTGTGCAGCAGAGTAGAACAGCTTACCTCATGGCCAGGAGGGAAGAGAGAGAGAGGAAGAGGCTGGAGCTCCACAGTTCCCTTTAAGAGCACACACAAGTGACCTAGAGCCTAGAGCCTAGACCTAGAGCCCTTCCACTATCCCCTCTCTGAGAGCTTCTGCCTCCTCCCATACCAACTGCTGACGACCAAACCTTCAACATATGGCCTTCGGGGGCCACTGAAGATCCAAACTATAGCAGTGATGTAAGCTCTCCTGATATCTATGGGTGCCTTCTGTGTGCTGAGCATTAAAAGGTTCAATGGGGACTTTGCAAGTTGGGTTTAGGGCCTAGAATCAATTTGTTTCTCCGGTAGCATTTTATTGTTATCCCTGAAATGCCTGGAATTTTTTGTTTTCTCTTTTAGGCTTTTGTAAATTGGAAAGAGGCTAAATTGACTTGGAGTTTTTTCAAACAGTCTTTCTTGAAACAAATTTTGACAGAAGGTAAGTAAAAAGTCACTCTGATCAGTCAGGAGATCATAGTAGAAGCAAAGGAATTTTATAGGACTGTTGATTATCTGGATCCACCCGCCTATCTGGGCCACTATTGGCAAAGGACCGCCATTTTTTAATTGTTTTTATTTTTAGATAGAGAGGGAAACCAACATTTATTTAGTTTTATGCTTTTTTTTTTTCTGGTACTGGGGATTGAACTCAGGACCTTGTGCTTGTGAGGCAGGCGTGGTGTCACTGCACTAAATCCCTGGCCCAGTCTTATGCTTTAAGTTATCTAATTTAAATGTCTCCACACCATATAAAAGGTGTTTTTGCCCTTTATTATGGATGAAGGAACTGAAAGTTTGTGAGCTTATAGAACTTTAAGGGCCTACTGTAATGAGAAACAGTTTAATTAGAATCCAAGACTGTTAATCAGCTTTCTGTTAATGTGACAAAATACCAGAGAGAGTTAACTTGAAAGGATGAAAAGCTTATTTGGCTCATGGTTTCAGAGGCTTTGTGGCAGTACAGTGCGTCATGGTGGCTGGGAAGCAAAGAGAGTTAGGAAGAAGTTAGAGTTTCGTTGTCTCCTTCAAGGGACTGTCCCAAGGAGCTAACCTTGGTTCTACTATACCCCACCTTCTAAAGGTTCCACTGCCTCCAGTGGAACCATGGGCTGGGACCAAGCCTTTAATACATGGGCTTGTGGGGGAACTTCATATTCAAACCATAGCAAATTCTAACTGTAAAACCCCTGTTATAGCATTTTAATACATTTATTATGAAACTATCAAATTATAGAAAATTTGGAAAATAAACCATCCAAAAATCTTATCCTATACTAAATTTTGTTCTTTTTTCAACTTTTTTAAGACTAGATTTTTCTTTAAAAAAAAAAAAAAAGAACCATGGCTTATTTATTTATTTAGCAGTATTGGGTATTGAACCCATGGCCTTCGTGCTGAGCTACATTCCTAGTCCTTTATTTTTCTTTTTAAAAAAATTTTTGTTTTGAGATAGAGTCTTACTAAGTCATTAAATTGCCCAGGCTAGCCTCACACTTGCAGTACTCCTGCATCAACCCCACAGAGCACTGAGATTAACACATGCACCACCACATCATTTTATTGTCTTTTTGTCTTTTCTGGTACCGGAGATCGAACTCAGGACCTTGCGCTTGCGAGGCAGGTGCAGCGCCACTGAGCTATATCTCTGGCCCTAGAATACTATTGTTATACTATATACTAAAGGGCATAATGATAAGGAAAAAATGTACATGTTCAGTTCAGATGCAATTTTTTTGTTTGTTTTGTGGTACTGGAGAATGAACCCAGGGCTTTCACACCGAGCTACATCCCCGACCTTTCTTAGTTTTTATTTTGAGACAGAGTCTCTGTAAATCACTGTGTTGCCCAGCTGGGCTTGAACTTGCCAACCTCCTGCCTCAGCTTTCCAGAGTGTTGGGATTATAGGTGTGTGCTACCACACCTGGCTGTGTGTGTGTGTGTGTGTGTGTGTGTGTGTGTGTGTGTGTATGTATTTTTGATCTGCAATTGGTTGAATCCTTGGATGCATAACCTCCATATGTGGAAGACCGATTGTATTTACAAAAGCTGGAACTGTTGGCCATGAGGGTGGATCAGAGAAGCAGGCCTGGGAGGATCAGCACAGGTCCCTGCCACAAACACTTGCAGGAGACAAGATCAGAGAGGGGAGTGACTTGAGAGAAGATGGAATCCTAGTCTCTTGATGTTTTCCTTTTGCTAGGAGGTGAGGATTTGAACATAGAGGCTGTGGGTACTACAGTGGACCCTTGAGTTACAGCTGGGCTGACATACGAACAGCTTGGGTTATGACCAGAATTTTAGTTTTAACTTACAAACAAAGTCTTGAGTTATGACCCAAATGCCAGCTAATTGTGCTTCCAGGTGGTCTCAGATACAGATTGAACTCTTAAAGAGCTCTAGAAAGAACATTACAGCCTCCTTTCCTGCGTGGGGTTAACTGAGAAGTCCTGGGCTGTTGTCTCTCTAAGGACACTGAGATCTGCCTGTGTATAAGAGAGAGACTTTTGTAGGCTGTGTAGAGGAGCCTGAGCCTTCAGTTGACCAACTTGAGTTACAACCAGCCTTCTTGAATGAATTGAGTTTGGAAGTCAAGGGTCCACTGTATTTAGTACTCTTATCTCTATAATGATCAGTGCTTTTCATTCGTGAACAAGAAATCACGAAAGGCAGGGGTGGAGGTGAGGGTTGAGGGGCACTGGGGGCCACCTGGTGTCTTCACCTGAAGACATTAGACCGTCTTAGATTTCAGCGATCAACTGAGCCCCTGGAGCAGGTCCACCCTGGAGGAAATTTACATGAGCTTGTGCCTGTAACCGGGGACATGTCCCTTCTTAGTTTACACTGGAGTTTCTGAACTCCTTAAGACTTGGGACAATCATTTTCATTACTGACATTCAGTAATCTCCCAATATTTTTTAATGTATTACACTATTATTATTAGTTGTTGGTTCTTAATTTAACCGGGCTGGAGGTTCGCCATTAATAAAGCCCACAGAACTTTCCAAATTATTATAGTATTAGAAATCAGCATTAGAACAAATAATGTGTCTTTATCTGATTTTTCTTCTTTGAGAGTATTTGTCAACAAGAAAAGTTGATATATGATAAGAGAAAAGGAAACAAGAAATGAGTCTGCACTTAAAAGCTAATTATTTTGCTTTTCCATTTATTATAGGTGAGCGATATGTGATGACATTTTTTAACATATTAAATTTTGGCGACCAGGGTAAGATAAAATTCTGTAGTGTTTTAGTTAAAGGTGAATACTATTTGTTTTTTGTTTTGTTTTGGTTTTTTTGGTTTTTTGGTACCGGGGATTGAACACGGGTCCTTGTGCTTTTGGGGCAGGTGGCGGAACCACAGAGCTAAAGGTGAATACTATTAATAGATGTTTCTTAATATTTTTCTCTGTAGTTTGGTACATTTCATGAAAGATGAATCTGAAAATTATATGAAATGCAGATTGTACAAAAATGAATCCTGAAGATCATAAATTATAGGGCTTTGTAAATATATATGTAAACAGACTGTGCTCTCTCATCTGACTTGAGTGGTAATTTTTTTGTTGGGACTCCCTGCCTTTTCCCCTGCTTCCTGAAGAGGTCAATTTCAGGATTAGAGGAAAGCTAAGAGAGAATAAAAGGGAGCTCACCAGCATAGTCATGAAGATACATATGTGTGTGGCTAGATGGGCCTCTCTCAATTTTTTATGTTTACTTTTTAATATAATATCAAAGTAATGGAAATAAAAAATAGAAAAAAAAATCAACTTTGCATTAATGACCTTTATTTTAAAAAGTACTAGTGATAGGGCCAGGGATTTAGCTCAGTGGTTCCACTGCCTGCCTCACAAGCACAAGGTCCCAAGTTCGATCCTTGGTACCAAAAAAAAAAAATAGTACTAGTGATAGAGGCATCTTATATCTTGCCTATATCAGTCCAGTATCCTGGTTGTGAAATTGTACTGTAGTTTTTGCAAGATATTGTCAGTTGAGAAAGTGGAGTAAGGGTACATGGAATCTCTAACAATTTTTTTGGTTGTGTGTAAATCCCCAGTTATCTTAACATTTTTTTTTAAAGTTTAAACATTAGAAAAAATTTTAACAGTACTGTGAAAGTTAAGATAGAAAAACGAATATGATTGTGTTTCCCTTTTTGTTTTGTAGGTGTATATGATATAGTCAATAATCTCGGGTCCCTTGTGGCAAGGTTAATTTTCCAGCCAGTAGAGGAAAGTTTTTATTTGTTCTTTGCTAAGGTGCTGGAGAGGGAAAAGGATGCCACACTTCAGAAGCAGGTAGTCTTGGTTCTCATGTCCTCTTCTCTCAAATGAACCTTCATCTGGTTGCATGACCGATAGAAATGAGGAAGTTTGTTTCCCTTTTGATGTTAATTTTTCATTTAGATTTTGTCCTTCTCTCACCTTCCAACTAATGGCAGGACCCAGAGCTCATTTCTTTCCTGACCTTAGCTCTCCCTTTTGTCTCACGCCTTTGTTCTCTGTGTGACCTTACTCTTTTTTTTTTTCTTCCCGGTACCGGGGATCGAACTCAGGACCTTGTGCTTGCCAGGCAGGTGGGGTGCCACTGAGCTAAATTCCCAGCCCTGCATGACCTTCCTCTTGATTTAGCCCTCTCAGAACCCTCTACCAGGATAGACAGACACCCTCTCATGGCCTTGTCATAGGTAGGAGAATGAGGTGGCCTCTCCCATCCTCAGATTCTCTACCAAATGATGCCAATTTAGGGGATGGGAAAGAAAGAATATGGTCATGGGCTTCATTTACCGCATCAATTGTTTTAAGTTTTTTTTTTTTCTTTTCCAGTACCAGGGATCAAACTCAGGACCTTGTGCTTTCGAGGCAGGGGTAATGCTGCTGAGCTAAATCCCCGGCCCCTGTTGTTTAAGCTTTTTACAGATTGTGCCATGCTCGGTGCTATTCTGACCCTGAGAATCTGTGTACTCTGGTTGTTCAGAATAGAAGAGATTTTAGCCCATGAATATTTACCTAGAGAAACTTTTACTTTTTCAAAAACAAAAATGTCTAATGCCTCAAAATTAAAAGCAAGTTTGGTTTATTTCTTCCATGCCTTAGAAGATATTTTGCAAAATATAGTTTATGAACAGTATTTCAAAATGAGCTAATCTGGTTCTCAGTCTGATTTAGGAATTTTACCTAAATGTACAATGACAGTAACATCAGAATTTTGAAACATTTGTCAGGAGAAGCACAGAGCTGGCTAGTCTAGATGAAAACTTGCTGCCCATTTAAGGATAAGTACCAGAGGGAAAAGGGAATGTTTCCTAAGCAATAATTGAAATAATTCATCCTAAATGAGTTGAAAACTAAACTTCCCCCTTGTCACCTAAGGAGACACAATTGCCTTTTTTCTTTCATTTGCTAATTGTCATAAAAACAAACGTGGCCTGAAGAAAAGCAGTAAGGCCCTCAGCTGGGTGAGCTGAGGGACAAGACCAGATGTGAGAGTGTTCTTCAGCACACGATCCACCCAACTTCCTTCCCTTTCTCTGGTTCCAGGAGGACATTGCTGTCGCCGCTGCGGTTTTGGAGTCCCTGCTTAAGCTGGCCCTGCTGGCTGGCCTGACCATCACTGTTTTTGGCTTTGCCTATTCTCACCTGGCTCTAGATATTTATGGAGGGACCATGCTTAGCTCGGGATCAGGTATGCACTAGAATTTTGTCAGATTTATTCTAATTTATGAACAGAAATAGAGTCTCATGAAATTCAAGAACTTGTGCACGCACCATTGACATGTGCATCCTGTAGAAAGATTGTCAGATAGCTGGGGCTGTGGGACTGTTCCATCACACAGTGTCAGACGCACACTGAGGACGTGGTCAGGGCCTTGGACTAGGACAGTTAGTTCCCTAGCCTCACCTAGAGTAGTTGTCATGAGTCTTCCCTCCCATCGGCTTTCCTCTCAGACTCCAGGTGTGTTTTGTCAAGCACTTGGCCATGCCTCCTCTGGACGAGGGAGGAAGGCAGAGAGCAGGCTCTAATGAATCTCTGCTTGGTACTAAACATATCTGAAGATAGTAAATGCCATATAAATCTCATGGCTGGGTGCAGAAAACCCTCTGAAGGATAACCCAGAGCCATTTGCAGAGAATAAAATTGATCTTGGCAAATAAAATGGCATGTTTAATCCACTGACTCTGAGAAAAATAGTGAATGTGTCTAACACTGAAATATGTGGTGCCCACGCCACCAAGTATCTTGCTTGTCCTTGAAGACTTCACCAGTTTCACAATGCCTGCTATCACTGGCAGTCCATTTGCAGGCTTTCATCTTGGGTGTAGCTAAGATGTTTTTAATTCCTCAGATCACTAGACAAACACCTGGAAGAGTCTTTCTCCTCTCATCTCAATATAAAGGGCTTTGTCCAATGCCCTTTCACAAGTTCAGTGGCATGGTTTTTTTTGTTTTGTTTTTTTGTACTGGGGATCGAACTCGACCTTGCACTGGCGAGGCAGGTGGCAGAACCACTGAGCTAAATCCCCGGCCCTCACTGGCATATTTTAATTGCCACTATAGTGGGCCTCAAACTTCAGGGTTAGGCAAAAAAAGAGCTAAATTTCTACTCTATAGCAAAGGTCATTAACTTGGGAGAAACCTGCTGTGAAGCCACTGAAGTGGTTTGCAGCTCCCTGGGGCTTGTGCTGTGAGAAGTACATCACCATCAGGCCACTGCAGGGAAGCCTCATTAGGAAGCCATTAGCAAATTTATATGCAGAGACTGGGGACTTAGTAATTTCATAGTTGCATAGAAAGCAGTTACCAAGCAACAACCTTTACTACAGCACAGTCACAGGATGTTGCCCAGAAGGAACGGCCCATCATGTTCACCTGGTAGAGTAATTAGTCATGGAAGAGATACAAACTGCCATCCTGTGGTGTCCTTTTATTTGAGTGAAGTGCTGGTGTACTTCTGAACATTGATAATAGATTTATCAATTAAAAGGGTAGAGTTGGTTAAGTTCTAAAGTAATGTGTTCTGAGTCATTAATAATTTTAGATTAAAAAAGGTGCTCTCCGAATCTCTTCTTCAGAGAAAGCAGAGCCTTGAGAATGATTCTGGCTTCTCAGTCTCTGAAAAGCACATGTGAGCTGGGCATGGTGTACATATCTGTAATCCTAGCACTTGAGAGGCTGAGGGAGGAGAATCATTGCAAGTTTGAGGCCAGCCTGGGCTGCATACCAAGACCTGTCTAAAAAACAAAAACAAAAAGCATGTGGTTTAGTATGGCTCTTCAGAACCATTGTCCTCTTTTGCCTGGCCCCAGCCCCCCCCCCCCAGCGCCACCACAACAGGGTCTTGTAGCATTTGAATCCAAGTTGTCATTGCCTGTCACTTTGACCAGACTTCTACTCTGTGTAAAACCTGTGTAGCTTCTGAATAGGGTCATGGCCTCTCCCTCAGGGTGCCTCCTGGCTCTCCCTCCACACCACTCTGCCTCCTTGTCCACTCCCCTCTCATCTGACGAGTGCTGTGCATCCAAATGCCTCTACTCTGCTAGGAAATAGTAACACCACTGCTCTCTCTAACCCACCCCAACAGTCTTTTTGTTTTGTTTTGTCTTTTGTTTTTTGAAACAGGGTGTCAATATGCAGTTCAGACTGGCCTTGACTAGGTAGCTCAGGCCGGCCTCAAACTCACAGTGATCCTCCTGCCTCAGCCTCCCAGGTGCTTAGATTACAGGCATGTGCCACCACACCTGGCTTCAACAATCTTTTCTGATCATTTAAATAATTCACAAAACTAGACATTGTTCAGAAAGACTTCCTGGATTAAACAGAAAGAATAGCAACTCTCCATGCTCAGCCCCATCATTTTATTTACTTACTCATGTAAGTCCTGGGGTATGAACCCTAGGGCCTCACAGATGCTAAGCAGACACTACCACTGAGCTATATAAAGATGCACTTTTCAATCCCCAGCCCAACTTTTGCATTCTTAAGAGAAACAAATAGGCCAGCATGGACTACACAGTGAGACCTTGTTTCAAAAAAACCAAACAGGGGGCCTGGGATTTAGCTCAGTGGCACTGTGCCTGCCTTGCAAGTGCAAGGTCCTGAGTTTGATTCCTGGTACCAAAAACCAAACAAATAAAAAAATAAATATTTACTGAACTTCTGCAAGATTTATCTTTTAGTTTTTTTTTTTTTTTTTTTTTTTTGGTTTTTCTCTCTTGCTCCTTTTCTTTCTTTATATTACTGTTCTACTGCAGGACTGCCATAACAAAGCACCAGACTTAGTGATGCTATTCTCTTTTTAGGGGGTGCTGGGGATTGAAACCAGGCCTCATGCTTGCAAAGCAAGTCCTCTACTAACCCACCCAGCCCCTCTGAGTGGCTTTAAACAACAGAAATGTATTGTCTCCCAGTTCTGGAGGCTAAAGGCCTTAGTCAAGGTGTCAGCAAGGCCACAAGCCCTCTGGTCTCTGATGCCCCTGGGGAGCTCCTTCCTCGCCTCCTCTGGCTTTGGTGTTTGCCAGCAGTGTTTGCCATTCCTCAGCTTGCACCTGTGGCACTGTGGTTGCGGTCACATAGCGTGTTCTTCATGGGTGCTATCACTTTGTCTTCCTTCAGGACATTTCTGTCTCTGAGTCATATTTCCCCTCTTTATAAAGACACCAGTCATTGGGTGAGGACTTACCCTAATGACCTCATTTTACCAGAATATCTTCATAAAGACCTTGTTTCCAAATAAGATCATATTCTGAAATGCCGAGGGTTAGAACTTCACCTTATCTTTTTTGATGGGAAACAGTTCAACCCAAAACATTCTCAATTCCACCCACAGTTTAAGATTCCATCTTTGAATTCCCCAAGTTGGCTCAAACCTTTTTACTTGAGTCACCACTTCATGCCAGGGTTTGTGTTTTCCACGACTCTGAGCAGTGAACTGTCCACCCTGACGGCCCCCACAGGCGGGGAGCATTCTGTTACCGAGTGAGAGGGACCCCACTCCCCTCTGCTTCTGCTAGAGAGAGCAAGGCAGGGAGAAGCAGAGGCTCACTGAGCCCAGCCTTGCACCACCCAGGGTAGAGCCTGCCCCTGCCTTCTCCCTCGGTCACTCCTCAAACTGGGGTGGGAGCAGGCTGCCTTCTTCAGGGGCTGAGGGGTCAAGTGCAAGGTGATATGATAAAATGTGGGATAGAGAGAGGGCCATAGAAAATAGCATTTGGTTGGGCGCCAGGCTACCCTGTTAACGTTCCTTTTGTAATTTTGTGACTTCCATAAAACCAGAGTCCCCACAGTTCAGGGATCTTTATATTAAACACCTTTCATAAACCCCTGAATATGTCTCAGATTCTGAGATTCCAGAACTTGAGTCTCTCCTCCTTTTCTTTGTTTTTTTCCCTTATTGAGGTATAATTTACCTAAAGTAAAGCACTGCTCTCTAAGAATAGTTTGATGAGTTGTTTTTTTTTTTGGTACCGGGTCTCAAACTCGGGATCTTGTGCTTGCAAGGCAGGTGCTGGAACCGCTGAGCTAAATCCCTGGCCCAGTTTGATGAGTTTTGACAATTATATATACTCATGTAGCCACCATCCAGAGGTGGTTATAAAAACATTTCCATTACTGTAGAAAAGTTCCCCAGGACCCTTTCCAGTCCACTATCCCCTCTACCTCCCAGGCAATCGCTGTTCTGATTTCTGTAATAGATTAGTCTCCCTGCCTCCCTCTCTCCTCTCCCCGCTCCTTCCTCCCCTCTTGTTCTCTTTTCTTTCTTTTGCTTTATTTTGTGCTAGGGATCAAACCCAGAGCCTAGTATAAGCTCTCTACACTTAGCTATATCCCCAGTTCTAGTATTACTTTTTAAAAAAAGTATTTCAGATAAATGAAATCATATACATGTATGCTTTTGTATTGTGCTTCTTCCTTCAGTATAAAGTTTCTGACGTTCATTCATGTATTAATTGGTAGTTTTTCTCTTTTCTTGCTGAGAAATACTTCTTTATATGGCTCTCCCATAGTTTATCCTTTCTCCTGTTGTTGGCCAATTTGGCTGTGATGCCTAAAACCACTACAATTTTTTTTTTTTTTTTTGAGACAGGGTCTCACTCTGCAAACTTGCAGTGATCCTCCTACCTAAGCCTCCTGAGTGCTGGGTTTATAGGTGTGCACTATAATGCCTGGCACAAACATTTTTATACAAGTGTTTTTTTGTTGGGTTTTTTTTTTGGTACCAGGGATTGAACTTGGGACCTTGTGCTTGTGAAGCAGGTGGTGACAACACTGAGCTACATCCCCGGCCCCTATACAAGTGTTTTTGTGAAGATGTATACTCATTTCTATTGGATATGTAACTTGGGTGGAACTTCTGGATCATAGATTGAATGTATTTGTTTGTTGGTTGGTTTGTTTGTTGTTTGGCACCGGGAATCAAACTGAGGACCTTGCACTTACCAGGCAGGCGAGCAAGCCACTGAGCTACATCCCTGCCCCTTGAATGTATGTTTTATTAGAAATTACTCCTCCAGGGCCGGGGATTTAGCTCAGTAGTTTCTCTGCCTCCTGCACAAGTGCAAGGACCCGAGTTCGATCCCCAGTACCAAAAAAAAAGAAAGAAATTACTCGTCCATCTCTTTTTTTTTTTTTTGGTCCCGGGGATCGAACTCGGGTGCTTGCACTTTCGAGGCAGGCAGTGGAACCACTGAGCTAAATCCCCGGCCCTTTTTGTCCATCTCTTGCTAACAGTCCTCTTAAAGGAGAGGGATCAATTCCATTGGGAAGGCTCCTGTTCGCTGCAGATTTAAAAAAAAATAGAATGGACCAATCCTTTATTTTTATACACTTTGACAAAGAGGTTTTTGGTAAACAACCTTTGCAATGGAAAATAGAGATCATAAAAATCAGCCTCTAGCCATCAACATCTGCTCTGCTCAGGGTCTAGCTTCTCCCTTGCCCAAGTGGTGAGATGGAGGAATATACCTCCGTTTCTTTGTTAGCTTATCTCACTATTGCTTTTTTTTTTTTAATTTTTTTGGCACCGGGAATCGAACTCAGGACCTTGCACTTGTGAGGCAGCCATGGTGCTACTGAGCTAAATCCCGGCCCATCACTGTTGCTTTTTTAAAAAATTAATTTATAGTGGTAGTAGGGATAGCACCCAGAGTCTTTTCACTGAGCTACATCCCCAGACCTTTTTTTGTTTTTTTATTTTGAGACAGGGTCTTGCTATGTTGCAAAATTGCCCAGACTGGGCTAGAACTACAGTCCTCCTGCCTTATCGTGCTGCTTCTGGATAGTGGTCATGCATTTCATTGTTTGAAATTGTGTGAAATCTTCAAATTTCATTTTGCACTCTTTCTGTCTCTAGATGCTACCAGTTTGATGTACACATTCTAGTCATTCTTTTTAAAAAGTATGGTGTTGAGAAAAAATCATTTTCCTTTTTAAATTGGTACACATTTATAGTACATAATGATTACATTCATTGTGGGGAATTGGTACATGTTGTCTTAGTAATTTTTCTCATTGGCAAATCTGTCTTAGTTACTTTTACAGTGCTGGGATAAAATATCCCACCCCCACAAGTTACAGGAGGAAGGGTTTATTTACCTCACAGTTTGTAGAGGTTTCAGTCCATAGTTGGCTGGCTCCAAGGCAGGGTGCCATGGTAGAGGGGTGTTGCAGAGGAGAGACAGTGCATGGCAGGACAGGCAGAAAGCAGCAGCCTTCTGTCTGGCTTCCCTTTTATCCCATCTAGGCTCAAGCCTATTGGATGGTGCCACCCACCCAGGGTGGGCCTTCCCATTATTCACGCCCAGAACTGTGCCAAACCAATCAGTGGACTAATAAGGTTACCACACACCCTTAATCCAAGTTCACACACCCTAAATCCAGCCACCTCTGAAAAGCCCCAGTTATGAACACAGGAGGCTTTGGGGGAACAGCTAGATACAAGCCATACCACGTGTACATGACATTTCTCAGTTCCCCTGAGAAGGAGTCTTGTAGGCTGGTCAGCACTTTGGATTGTCATGTCATGCTGTATCTATGTTAAGGCCCATTCTTTTCTGCATGTCACAGAGAGGCCTGACATCCCTCCCCAATGCCCTTGTCTCCTCCCTGGCTGCAGCTTCAGGACAGTTGGCTCTCTGGTCAGCAGAGCTTTCCAAAGCTTATTAGTTATCTATATCTAGAACTGAAGCACTTTGTTTTAGAAGAAAGTACCATTATGGGCTCTGGTTCTCATTGCAGATTGTGACTGTTCGATCTCAGTAGTTTCCTGCTGGTCCTGGACCCTGGGTTTTTCATGAAGATCTTTTCTTTAGGCCTACTCAAATGAGATTCCTTTAATGTACAGAGCTGCTACTGTCTTTGAGTGCTCTGACTAGTAGGCCTCTTTGTGCTGGTTTAAGTGAGCAGATACACTTGCTGACCAGATGAGCTTTTAGTTATTCAGCCAGAGATCTGAATGTTTATTCGTATCTGTCCTTTTAGTCCTAGCAGATGATTTTAGTCAGTGCTGTGGAATCCTGGGAGTCCTCTAGTGGGCACATAGTCTGATTATTGGTACCAGCAGGCCTAGTTCTGGTGTTCTCTGAGCCCTCAGCCACGCTGAGAGTTCCTATGGGCCTGTTGTTTGGCCTCTGGAGTCTCGGTGGATTGTTTCCTTGTAGGTCCTGTTTTGCTGCGTTCCTATTGTCTCTATGTCCTCCTGCTTGCCATCAATGGAGTAACCGAGTGCTTCACGTTTGCAGCCATGAGTAAAGAGGAGGTCGACAGGTGGGTAACCTGAAAGGTACACATTTAATTGTGGCCTTTGGCCAAAATGAACTAACTTACCAATCTTTTTTCTTTTCACTCTGAACATGGATTTACCAATGGCTCTCAGAGCAGCACTAGCCCTCTGGCGTGATCCCTCCCTGGGATCTCCATTGCACTGGCATGACTCAGTTAGGGCCTCCTGTGGCAGGGCTGGGAGGCAGCAAGTTCTGTCTGCTTCCCTTCATGGAGGGAGAAATATCATCACTGAAGTCACGTTTGTGCACGTAAGTGAGTCAGGCATACAACAAGTTAGACTCCCATTTCTCCATCTCCTTACCCAGCCCAATAAATAAATAAATATCTAGACAAGGTTTTAACTTCAGATAGTTGATTTATAGCTATAGAGTCCACTCCCCTCCCCTCATATATAAAAAAGTCTAACTGAAAATACCACATTTTTATTTGAAAGTTGCTTTTCACGTTTATTTTTTTTTCCCCTGTGGTTCTGGAATTTGAACCCAAGGCCTCACGCATGCTAGGCAAAAGCTATTCTACTGAGCTACATTCCTATCCCCTTTATAAAATTTTATTTTTTGACAGGGTTTTGCTAAGTTGCCCAGGCTGGCTTCAAACTCCAAATCCTGCCTCAGCCTCCCATCAAACTGAATAATTTTTTGTTGTTGTTTTTTTGAGACAGGGTCTTTTTTTTGTGTGTGTGTGGTACCAGGGGTCAAACTCAGGACCTTGCGCTTGTGAGGCAGGCGCGGTGCCACTGACCTAAATCCCCAGCCCTCAAAACAGGGTCTTGCTATATAGTTCAGGCTGGCCTTGTGGACTCACTGTGTAGTCAACACTGGCCTCAGACTCTCGGTGATCCTACTGCCTGAGGTTCCCAAGTTCTGGGATTATATACCTGTGCCACCATACCCAGCACACTGAATCATTTTAAAATATAATTTAAAGAATGCTAAGCGAAGCCCTGTGGAATAATGGAAAAATCCCAGACTAGGAGTCTACCACTTTGAAGAGAATTTTATTATAGTAGCCTTACTGTAGAGAGGATGAATCAGCACTAAATCTATTTACAGTATTAAAAAAATAATAATAACTTCCAACCAAATCATGAGGGAATATGATTGGTTTCTTTCCATTTATACTGCCTTGAACCAAAGGAAACAACTTCTAAGTTTGTTGTAATGGAATTTTGACAGTATATGGACAACTGGAAAATTGTTTCCATGGTATTAGGAAACAGAAAAAGCAAAGGCCAGACAGAGCACCTTTGAATGCAGTTCTCATATGAGGTAACTCCTTTCCCAAGGAGTAAATGTGCCTTTTGAAGCATGTGATGTCGGACATGTATAAACAGCAGTTCCATCCTGTCTGGCCCAGCACAGCACCCTGCCCTGGTCTGAGCACTCAGGCTCATCACAGACCCTCACTTTCTTTCATCCCTGTGAGCTTAACTAAAGAAAGCCATCAGGGTTTTAGTAGTAGAACTGGGTAGCTTATTCAGTTTTATAATAAATGATAATGGCTGTACATTGAACATTTCAGATTCTGAATTGATAAAATACATTGATACAAAAATGGGCTTTTACCTAACCAACTTCAGGTTAGACATTGTTTTTCTAATTAAAAACAGAGCTATGGAATACTAATACATCTTCTGATTGATAGACTTTTCATTGTGCAGAAGAAAGGTTTTGTTTTGGGTTTTTTTTGGTACCGGGGATCGAACTTGGGTCCTTGCGCTTGCACAGCAAGTGGCGAAACCACTGAGCTAAATCCCCAGCCCCTGAAATGTTTTCTTTTTCATTAAACGTGTCTCCTTTTCTTTAATTTGACAATCTTGAGTATTTACTCTCCAGCAAGCATTGCTTTACGTTTTAGGAATATAGCTGTGAACAGAACAGATGAGATCCCTGTTCTCTGGAGCTAATGAAGTGGGCAGCAGATAGTGAACTAGTAAATAAAGAAGAAAATACATACCCGGTATGGTGACACTTGCCTGGAATTGCAGCTGCTTGGGAGCTGAGATAGAAAGGGTGTAATTTCAGGGCCAGCTTGGGGAACTTAGTGAGACCTTGTCTCAAATAAAAATATTTTGAGACCTTGTCTCAAAATAAAAATATAAAAAAGATTAGGGAGGTAGCTCAGTAATTCCATCCCCCGTACTGCAAAGCAAAAGGAGGAGGAGAAAGAAGAGGAGGATAGGAGGGTAGAAGGGAAGGGGTGTGTGGAGGAAAGGTGAAGGGGAGGAGAAGGAGGAGAAAAAAGAGGAGAGAAGAAGAAAGGGGGAATAAAACAGGGCTGTGTAGTGAGTGGTCAGGCCCTTTAGATTGGGAGCTAGGCCGGCCTCTCTTAGGCAGTGGCGTTTAGACTGGGGCTTGGATGACCAAGCAGATGGTCAACAGTGGGGCAGGGCTTTCCAGGAGAGGGATCAGAAATGCACATGCCCAAGATTGATGGCTTCTCTGTCAGTTTGTTGGACCTTGGGTGCCTTGGACATGGACCCTGTAACTGCTGAGTGAAGGGTGACCAATCTTCTCCTGTTAGCACACAAAGTCAGCGCCATTCCTCTCCTGCCTGCAGAGGCTGTTCTGTGTGGTTGTGCCTTGTTGTAGTCAGCTGGTTCCTGCTGGGGCATGCTTGGGTTGGCACCCAGTCGATACCCTTGACCACCTATCTTTTGGTAAGCCTAATTTTAAGACCAGTTTCTTCTTGGAAACATGAAGAAATAAATAATTGTAAATAATTTTACTGTTTTTGTTTTGTTTTTTGTAAAGGGGATTGAACCCAGGGCTTCATGCATGCTAGACAGGTCCTCTCCCACTGAGCTACGTCCTCAGCCCTTTCTTATTTTATTTTGAGACAGAGCTCCCTGTGTTCTGCAGGTTGGCCTTGAACTTGCGATCCTCCTGACTTAGGTTCCTGAGTAGCTGTACCACCCTGCCTGGCTTAATTTATGGGTTATGTTAGCCAAACCTCATAGAATAGTCATTGTTACTGATAAATAATTTTGCTTTGATTTAAAAAGTGATATTTTAATTGTATCTTTACAGTTCTTATTTTTTTAAAGTGGATTATAGCTTTCTGGCCATAGACTTCTTAGTTCTGAAAGTTCAGCAGCTGCGGAGCACTTTATAGTGAAAGAGAGTGGGCCCCGTCATTGTCAGCTGCTCCCAGACAGCCATACCACAGTCTGCGCTGTCCACGCCTCCCTCTTTAATGAGTATGAATTAACTGTTGGTTCCGTGTATTTCTGGCATTTTACTTGGATTTGGGTGAGGATAACTGAATGTTTATAAATCTGTGGCTTAAACTCCTAAGGATTTGTATAGTAGACCCTTCTGAGTTTCTTAAAAAGTGACAAGTTACCAAAAAAAGTGATACAAGTATAAAAAAGTGATAGATTACAGCTGGGTTTGGTGTCACGTGCCTATAATCCCAGCCCTCAGGAGGCTGAGGCAGGAAGGTCTCAGTGAGTTCAAGGCCAGCCTGAACCACATAACAAGACCCTGTCTCAAATTTTGTAAAAAAAGTTATAAGAAGTAGAATAATTAAAAAATGACAGGTTACATATCTTTGGATCTCTTTTGAAACAGAGATCAAACTATTGTTCTCCAGTGGATCCCAGCTTCAGTGCTTGTTATGAAGTGGCATCCTGATTATTGATTAATAGTGAAAGATCTTCCATTGTGAAACTGCAGGATTTTGTACTTCTACTGCTCATGAAAAGAGATTCTATACTTAGAAGCATATAAAATTCCCTCTTGATGAAATCACAACTTCCCTTTTAGAGATTTTATATTTACCATAATACATATGATAATATGTGGTTATAGATGTATGGTTTTATACACACACGTGTATGTGTGTGTGTGAGTGCAGCATCTTATCATGCACTTCGATAAAGCATCTTTCTATAGCACCTTGTGATTGGTCAGCCCACAGACCTACAGCAGCCATTCCTGGGACACAGTAGCTTTCTTACCACCCTTCATCTACAGAACCTGTGTGGTGGCTTAAACCCAGCAGACATAGTTTGGAGGCCTTTAGGTTTAGTTCCCTCAACAACTGTGTATTTATAGAGTGTCTGCTTTGAGTTAGGGCCCAATCACGTTCCGGGGAATTTGGCTTATGCCTATACCATAGCCTCTTGGAGGACTGTGGCAGTTATTTTAAGTTTGCTGACACTGGGCTCCTTTGTTTGCAGAAAACTGAAATGATATGCTGCTTTGAAATCAGAAGTGAAAGGAGTAGTATAGTCATTCAGCTCCTGACTCCAAAGAACCCTAGATATGTAAAGAAGAGAAGGGTATGTAAGAGTCAGGAAGAGAGGGGATTGAGGCTTTGCTCCCTGTTCACATTTCATTCTGGATCCTGGTCACTCATTTTGAGTGAGGCCCATTGTCCCAGATTACGGGGTGTTAACATTTCTCAAGGGAAGTGGTACGAGGTGAGGCGCTGTAGCTTAGGGGCCAGGAGTTGGGTTGGAGTGTTGGCTCACTGCTTAGGCAAGTTCCTCACCCTCCCCGTTGATTCCTCGTCTGTTAAACAAATCCAAGCTTCACAGGACAAGGGCCACATGTGCTCATTTACTAGTGTGTCCTCAACATTCCTTACAGGGCCTGTCACAGAGTCAGTGTTATCTGGTAATTTCTTTAGAAATGGTTCGCCAGTTAAGCATATTCCAGGTTCTTCTTGCCTCGAACAAAGAATTGGACAAACAAGTGAAAAATGGCACCAAAAGTTTATTTGAAAAGTGAGGGTTGAAGGAGTAAGGGAAGAACTGCTCTGCAGAGCAAACTTTGGCCGAACAAGAAAAAAAGGGACAAAAAGAGCAAAAATGAAAGTACACCCTGTGTCTGGGAGACACAGCACAGGCCACTGTGAAGAGTCACTGTAGCAGGCTGCTTGTGCCATATGCATCTTTATATGCAGTCAACATCTCATGGGAACCCACAAGAAGTTCTACAAACAGGGTCCCGGGAATAATTTGGTGCTGTCCCGGGATCTCCTAATTGACAGGTCCTGCTTATTTTTCCCAGCCAGCTTTGCGAGGCCCTACCACCTATATCATTAGCATCTGGTATATAATTGTTACTCAGGTCACGGTCTTGGGCCTCATGTTGGGGTACTTAGGCTGAACAGGATTTTTGTGTGTTTTAATTATAAAGTGTCACTTAAATAATCAACTGTTGTCCTTACACATAAATATCTTGAGTTCATTTTCTTACTCTTCTGTTCAAGGATGAAGGTGACACTGACATTTCCATGTTATCTATCTAGCGTTCATTATTTGAAAACTTGGATTATATGAACTCAGCTGGATTTATGAGAACTCAGAGGTTCTTTCTGTGAGTTGATGTTCATGGCCACTTTTTTTGTAGCAGCTTGTCGTAGGATAGGGTACTCACTGCCCTGCTTTGCTTGTCTCCTCTCCAGGTACAATTTCATGATGCTGGCACTGTCATCCTCATTCCTGGTGTTGTCCTATCTCCTGACCCGTTGGTGTGGCAGCGTGGGCTTCATCTTGGCCAATTGCTTTAACATGGGCATTCGGATCACGCAGAGCCTTTGCTTCATCCACCACTACTACCTTGGGAGCCCCCACAAGCCTCTGGCAGGCCTGCACCTGACACCCACCCTCTTTGGGGTATTTGCCCTCGCTGGTGGGATTACTGGTATTTCAGAGGTGAGACTGCAGCCTTCACTCCATGTGATTCCACAGGCTCTCCAATGTCCCACCTCTGGGTTTCCCTTTGCACTGTCTAAGCCAGCTGGGTGGGTCTTTGCCTGCTCTTATCCCTCCAGGCCTCTAGAGCAGACAGGATAGATGTGACAAAGGCTACTTCCAGTGGGAAGAGCGGAGACCCACAGCCCAGTTGGCCTTTTATCTGACTTAGAAGCTGGCACAGCAGCCACCTTCCCTGGCTTGTCCCAGAGGAAAAGGGTACAGAATGAGGAGGCAAACAGTGACAGTGGTTTCTTTCCCAGGTGTTCCTCTGCTGTGACCGGGGCTGGCCTGCCAGGCTGGCGCACATTGCTGTGGGAGTGTTCTGCTTAGGAGTGACTCTGGGGACAGCATTCCTCACCGAGACCAAGCTCATCCACTTTCTGAGGACTCAGTTGGGTGTGTCCAGACTCACTGGCAAAATGACATGACTTCAGGGGCCTTTGGCACTGGACCAGTGGGGCCATTTCTTGCGCCGAGCACATTGCTGTGCAAAAGCCCAGCCAAGGGGTCTGCAGTGGAGCGAGAGCCACCCAGTAGGTGAGAACCAAGGATGAAACACTGACCGTCCACTTGCAGGAGGAGTTACATTTTTAAGTGAAGACCAAAAAGCCCCTTTAAAATAAATACATCCTTTTCATTATTTTTTTAATCTGCATTTTTCCTTTTTATGAATGAACTAATTCCTCTTGGATGTGATGGAACTTTGGAGCTACATGCTCCAACAAACTATCATAGATGTTAATAATTATCTGGCTAAGAAAAAGAAATAATAAAGTAATAATTATCTGGCCAAGGAAAAGAGGTGTAGCCATTTACCCTTCACAAGAATATTTAGTTTATTCAGTAAAAGAAGGAAGAAGTCAGACACCACCATATACACACCTGGAATCCCAGCGCTGAGGGAAGCTAAGGCAGGAGGACCATAAATTGGAGTTAGCATCTGGCACCTTAGCAAGACCCTTTCTCAAAATGCAAAATAAAGAAGGGCAGAGGATGTAGCTCAGTATGCACTTCCTAAGAACAGAGTGTGGCCCAGGAATGTGGCTTTCCCTGTGTCAATGCTGTGTTCTGCATTTTTAGAGAAGAAAGAATATTAGTGAGCAATCCAAGGACTGCAGCTTTGAAGCTTTTCTGATCACTTTTCCAGAGTGTGGGGTGGGGGGGAATCTTGCCTGTCATGGTCACATTGTATCCCCTAGGTCAGCTCACACCTTCCCCAGCTGCACCCTCAGGATCTGTTGGGTGGAGGAAGGGAAAAACTGGCTGAAGACTAGGTCTGGCCACTTGAAAGAGGAATACTTGGAAGGAAACAGATCCAGTGCAAGCTGTTTTGCTCCCTGAGGGGAACGCTGTGTAGCAGCTTTCTGTAATTTCACACATGGAAATTGAGGACTAAAATGAAAAATGTCTGTTTTTATCCTCAGAATAAAATTATAAGATGGGATAAATTCTATACGGCAAGTGTTACTGAGTCAGGCCCTTCTCACTGACCAATTATTTCCAGCACTGATCAGTACAACCAAGTTCTAGCCCCAGAAGAACAGCAGACCTGTGCGTGTGGGCCTTCAGGCTGACACCTGAGCCCAGGCTCCTTGCACCCCACAGGTGAGAGTGTCAGGCATTATCCTGGAGAAAATAGCCAAAGGCATGGCGTCCTGAGCCATCAGACGTGATCCAGAGCATGGCCTTGGTCACGCCTTTGCTGGGCGGGGCCGGGCCATCGCCGAAAAACAGAATGGCCCGAGTGCACAGGAATGGACCTTCGGTCCTGCACAAGTTCCTCCTCTCCTGCTGCTGACCACGCCTCGCTTCCTCCCTCCTCTCCCTCAGGACCTCTGCACCCCCCTCTACTCACCACACCACAACTCAAAGTGTGGTCCTTGCATGGTCACTTGGATGGTAAGGTAAGGAGCACAGCTCCCCAGGCCCCACCACACCCCGTCAGGATTGGGCCGGGCCCTCGGGGTCAGCTTGCGTGGGGAGCGGGCTGGAAAGCCTCCAGGCCTGGCCCGGCTCATCTGCTTCTCCTGGACAGGCCCAGGGCCAGTCGGCCTTATCCCTGGTATCTGTTCTCCATTCTAGGCATGCGCGGCCTTGCACTTCTGAAGGAACCACGAGGTTCCTGCTCTCAGGTAGAAGCCCTGTGTCTGATAGTGTGGCTCGTCCTCTTTTCTCTCCATGCTACCCACTGGGTGCTGCTCTCCGGGTTTGCTTCTCTTGAACGATGGGGACCCCTGCCCAGGACCCTCTCCCATGTCCTGGTTTCCCGTTTCTAGGACAGGTCATGCCACGGCCATGTTTTCCACTGCTAGTACCTGCTTCCCTGATCATCAGCACCTTCGCCACAGCCCTCCTCAGTTCTCTGTCCCTGGCAGCCTCCCTGAAGCCACGGCCTCCGGTACTTCCCCTGCCACGCCCCCAGCAGCCTTGGGGCACTTTTGTGCAGTGGGTCAGGCTGCCTCACTTTATGCAAGAAAGATTTGGGGGACAGTCACACTCCTGGTTTCAAGTACCATTGAAAATATAGTGAGGCTACTTCTCCATGGGAACAAGCCTGTAAGGCACATCCTTTTGTTTTTATTTTATTTATTTACTTTGGGATTTTTCAGATAAGGTCTTACTATGTAGTTCAGTTGAACTCACTTCGTAAGCCAGGCTGGCCTCGAGCTTGTGCCAGTCCTCCTGCCTCAGCCTCCTGAGTACTAGGATTACAGGCGTGCCCCACCATGCTCGGCAGCACGTATTCTTACAACAGGAAGAAGCCTTTGGTGGCAAGAATAAGAGTGTGCTAACTTTCTGCACTCCCCTGGCCACATGGAAGCTCAGTCACTTCGGAGCTGACCTGGGCTCCCTCGGTGGGAACATTCCATGCTGCACTGTGCTCGCTCTGCAGCAACCCTCAGCTCTAGAGGTGCTGCCCGCCCTGCCCTGTTCCTGCCACTTCCCAGCCTGATGCAAGTATGGCCCTTCCTTCCTCCTGCCTGTTTTCCTTAATCACGTGTTCATATTGCTAGTTTCATGTTGGTCGCCTGGTTTAAAAAGAAATTAAACTATCTTCTTCACATTCTTGTAATGATCTCCCTCCTTTTGTGCCTCCTTCCAGAGTGAATCACAAATTTCATAGAGAAGGTGGGCAGATGGCTCAAGTCTGTACTGTTTGAAATCCTTACAGGGTCATCTCTTCCTATGTAGGTGTTGCAGCTAGGGATTGTGGCTCCTGATTTTGGATCAGGGAATGGTGGCCCGGAGCCTTCCTGCCTGGGACTGAGTTACCGGAGGGTCTCTCACTTCTCTTCTTATCCTAAGCAGTGTTTCCCATTTGTTTGTTTGTTTCTTTGCAGTACTGAGGATCCAACTGAGGACCTTGCGCTTTTGAGGCATGGTGCCACTGAGCTAAATCCCCAGCCATCCCCCCATTGTTTATTATACTTTTCCTGCTCCAATCTTCTCCATCTGGCCTGGTCTTTGTCTTGGTTGCTTTTTATTAAGCAGACCTTCCTGGATGGGTCAGGACAAGTTCCCATGCAGAACAGAGAAGCTGTTGTAGGAGACCTGCAACAGCCCCTCTACCCTTCTGTCTTCTTCAGTCAGGTGGTAGGATTTTCTTTCAGTGGGCTCATAGTCTTTTATACCAGAATTAGAGGATCCTGGAAGTGCAGATCCTACAAAGGAAGGCTCAGTGACTCATTAATCCTAAGACACACTAACTTCAGCAGGGAATCTCTGTCTCTGACTGTCTGTCTGTCACCCACCCTCTCTCAGCCTCAGTCCTGAAGTTGAACCTAGGGCCTCACACATGCTCCGCAAGTACTCTGTCTCTGAGCTTCAGCCCCAGTCCTCATTGGGGTTCTAGCCGTGATTTGGAGGAAGAGACTGGAACTGGGACCATCCAGAACCTGCAGAGCATGGACCCAGGGGAGAACCTGGGGATACCCAGAAGGTAGGATTGCCAAGGGCTGGGTGTGGCCTCTAAGCTGGATGTAATTGTGTCCAGCCAAGGAGTCAGAAGGAATACGGTCCCTAGCCCAGTCTTGGAAGAGCTGTGAATGAAAACAGGCTGTCCCTGGGTAGGAAGAGAAGAGGAAGCACAGGGGAAACCTTTCACACCGTTATAAACCTCTACTCCTTAGGGAGACCAAGGAGAGGCAGAGGGTGACCTTTTGGCACTGATGGCCAAGTGAGGAGGGAGTACCCAGGAGCCTGGTCTCCTGGACCTGGGGAACAGTCTCAGAATGTTCTTCACATGAGCTTCTCGGGGTCCTTAAGGGAGAGTTGTGGACAGCAAAGTGGAAGGCAGAACAGAGCCTGTCAGATGGGTCAGATATGGAAAGAACAGCCATGGCACGGTGTCAGGGCCCCCCTACCCCGGAAACTTCTTCAGACAATAAAATATGACTGGAAAAAACAGCTGAACAAAACCACTAAAATACAGATTTTATTTGCTGATTACTCCCTGAGTGTCACCAAGGAACTGGAACTGTGTTTTTAATTTAGAAATGAGTCTTCTGGGCCAATAAGAGATGCAGATGAAAAATGGTTTGTTTTACTGTCATTTACTGTACCTGGGTGAATAACCCCCTTTTATTTTTATTTTGGGTTTCTCATATCAGAGAAACCATGCAATACTTAAGCTGTGTCTGATTTATTTCACCTCACATTATGTATATTATTAGTGTGTGTTTGCAGTACAGAACAGTGATGTTTTGGGAAATTTATATATATATTACATCTTGATCATTTTCAATCCCTTTACCCACCCTCCTTTACCTCCCCCTTCCCGGGAACCCCTTTCCCATATCCAAGAGACTGCCATTTGTTTCCTGTCATCTCTCCTGTTTTATTCATTTATTTATAGTCTAGGTTTCTCATATGAAGAAAACCATGAGATATTTAACTTTCTGTATCTGACTTACTTTACTGACTGACTTGTCTGATGCTCTCAAGTTCTATCGATTTTCCTGCCAATGACATTATTTCATTTTTTACTTTTTTTCTCAGTGTATGGTTTCAATGCATAGTAACTACATATATATTTCATATTTTGATCATTTAAATCCCCTCCCTCCTCATTCTCCCTGATCCCCCATCCTCAGATCCCTTCCCAAACTCCCTGTTTCCTCCCATCTCTCCTTTATTTTGCTCTTTAAATTATTTTTATTTTGGGTTTCTCATATAAAAGAAACTATGCAATATTTCACCTGTGTCTGCTTTATTTCACTTAATGTTATTATCTCAAGATCCATCCATTTTCCTACAAATGACTTAAGTTTATACTTTATGGCTCCGTGTGTGTGTGTGTGTGTATTACAATTAGAAACAAAGGAACTGAGTCACTCCCTTCTCCCCATCTAACTCCAAACAGCACCCAATAGTTATTCCTGCTTCCATTGTCCTAAGAGAGGTACAAAATGAAATAAAAGCTTAAGAGATTCCATGGCCTAGGTGGCAGAGCACTGGGATTGAGGAAGAGTCAGTAAGAGGCACCTAAAGCCAGAGGTGTCTGGACTTAAATTCTGAAAGCCTGTGGTATCGGTGGCCTCTTTGCTCTTTTCCATTGTTCCTGTTCCACTGCTACCTTTCCCATGATCTTCAAGAAACATAGCTACATACTACTTACTGCTGGGTGTACGCTTGGCAATTCTTTCCTCACCGTACACAAGAACCTGGACTATTATTGGCCCTTTTCAACTGTAACATATATACCACATTCTCCTTTTCCATTTATCTGTTGGTGGGCATTTTAGGCTGTTTCTCTTAAGTTAGAGATTGTATTGCTGGGCATGGTGATGCACACCTGTAATCCCAGCACTCGGGAGGCTGAAGCAAGAGGATTGCCGTGAGTTGAAGGCCAGCCTAGGCTGCATAGTGAGTTCAAGGCCAGGCTGAATTACATAGCGAGACCCCATCTCACACACACACACACACACACACACACACACACACACACACAAAATTAGAGATTGTGAATTGTACTGCTGTAAACCTGAGTATAGTATCACTACAATAGTGTTCAGATTAGCATCGCTATAATGGTCAAAGATTCTGAACATTTCTTATGTACTTATTGGCCATTTGTACTTCCTAATCCCCTAAAGAGAAGGAGAAGTGTCTGCTCATTTCAGTTGCCCTTTTTTTGGTACTGAGAATTGAACTTAGGACCTTGTGCTTGCCAGGCAGGCATGGCACCACTGAACTAAATCCCCAGCCCCTCTTACTACTATTTCTTGTGCAATTGGGGTTCTGCTCAGAAGTCCTTACTTCTACATGTCTTCAAGGGTTTTATCTGTTCAGTGTTTCTGTTTTTACATCTAGATCTTTGCTCCATTTTGAATAGACTGCAGTACAGAGGGAGAGATAGGGTTTAGATTCATTCTTCTGCACATGGATAACCCATTTTCCCAGCACCATGTGTTACAGGGGCTGTCTTCTTCAATGTTTTTAGTCCCTTTATCAAAGATCAGATGACTAAAGGTGCACAGGGTTGGTTCTGTGTGTTCTATTCCATTGGTTTACCTGTCTGTTTCTGTACCAGTACCATGCTGTTTTTATTGTAGCTTTATAGTACAACTTGAAACCTGGACTATAATGTTTCCCATTTTGCTTTTCTTTGCTCAAGATTGCTTTGGCTATTCCGGGTCTCTTCTGGTTCCATATAAATTTCAAGATTGTTTTTGCTGGTTCGATGAAGAATGTTGTTGGTATTATGATTGGAATTCCATTAAATCTATACATCATTTTTGGTAATGAGGCCATTTTAACGATATTTCTTCTGCCTCCCCAGGAACAGAAGATGTCTTTCCATTTTCTAACGTCCTCTTCGGCCACTTTCTTCAGAATTCTATGTTGTTGTTATAGAAGTATTTCATTTCCTTGGTTAGGTTGATTCCTAGTATTTAATTTTTTTCTGAAGCTATTATGAATGGAATGATTTCATTCTTCTTTATGGCTGAATAATATTCTATTGTGCATATATTCAACATTTTCTTACCTATTCATCTGTTTACAGGTGTCTAGGCTGTTTCCAGAGTTCAGTTACTATGAATTGCAGTGCTGTAGATCTGGGTATCTATGTGTCACTGTAGCATGATGTCTTTAACTCTTTTGGGTAAATACGCGTGAGAGATATAGCTGAATCAAATGAAATCTCTAATTTTTAGTTTTTTGAGGAATCTCCACACTGATTTCTAAGTGGTTGTACTAGTTAACATTCCCAGCAACAGTGGAGAAGGGTTCCTTTTCCCCTACATTTCCTACATTGCCAGCATTTGTTGGGTTTTATGTTCTTTTTTTTTTGTGTTCTTGGTGATAGCCATTCTTACTGGAGTAAGAATGTTTTGATTTTGCATTTTTCTAATGGCTAAAGATGCTGAACATTTTTTCATGTACTTAGTAGCCATTTGTACTTCTTTGAAAGAAGTGTCTATTCATTTCAGTTGCCAATTTTTTTTGTTTTGTTTTGTTTTGTTTTGTTTTGTTTTTGTTTTTGTGGTACTGGGGATTGAACTCTGGACCTAGTGCTTTCAAGGCAGGCAGCAGCACCTCTGAGCTAAATCCCTGGGCCTTTTTTTTTTTTTTTCGGTACCAGGGATCAAACTCGGGTACTTGTGCTTGTGCAGCAGGCAGTGAAACCACTGAGCTAAATCCCTGGCCCTCCTGGCCCTTTCAATTGCCAATTTTTTTTTTTTTTGGTACCGGGACTCAAACTCAGGTCCTTGTGCTTGCGAGGCAGCACAAGGTGGATCAATTGCCAGTTTTTGATTGGGTCATTTATTTTTGGGGGGGGTAACTTTTTTGAGTTATTTATGTATCCTGGATATTAGTCCTCTATAAGAAGAGTAGCAAGCAAAAATATTTCCCATTCTTTAGGTTGTCTTTACTCTGTTGATTGTTTCCTTTGCTCTGCAGAAATTTTAATTTGGTGTAATTCCATTTGTTGATTCTTGATATTATTTCCTGTGCTTTTGGAAGTTATTCAGGAAGTCTGCCTGTGTCTATCACTTCCAGCATTTACTCTGTTATCTTCCAGCAGTTTCAAAGTTTCTGTTTTTATATCTAGGTCTTTGATCTATTTTGATTTTAGTACAGGGTGAGAGATAGGAATCTACGTAGTTTTAATCTTCTGCACATTGAATTAGCCTTTAATTTCATTTGCTAGTTAACTTTCAAGGATAGCAGAAAGGATGTTTTATTTGAAGAATTTGGGGGAAAGGGAGGACACTGATTTTTATTATCAGTTGGCTCCAATTACCTTGGCATAACCATTTCCCTATTCAGTGTCATTAATTTTTAACCAGAACTGTCTAGGTATAGCAGAGCCAACTGAGAAGAATGAGCTCTTGATGCAGTTCAGCCTCTTCTAGGGCCCTCGTGAAGGAGTCTTATAAATAGGTAACTTGGTAGTTTTTCTTCAGATGAGTTAGCCCGAGTTGCTAGTTATGCCAAAGTGCAGTTGACTCTTCGCCTGGCAACTTTTCACCCTTCTTGGGGAATGTGGCTTCCATGGATAGTGCTAGAGGTGAGATGCACGGTTAGGCCTCTCCTTTCACACAGTACACCCGTGTCAGCAGAGTAAGGCACCCGGAACTGTCCCAGACTCTGTAGGCTCCAGCACACTTGTTCTTGGAGACTCCTTCACTCCCAACCAGCCTGTCAGACGAATTGCACTGCACCATGTCCCACTTTGAACATAAGAATGTACGTACACAAGAGCTGGGGTTGCCTAATCAGCAAGATTGTGGTCCCAGCACTTGGGAGGCTGAGGCAGGAGGATTGCCATGAGTTCGAGGCCAGCCTGGGCTACCTATTGAGTTCCAGGCCAGCCTGAACTATATAGTGAAACGCTGTCTAAAAAAAAAAATAATAATAATATATATATGTATATTGTTTTATAGATATTTAAATAATGTACTTTTGAAGCTCTTATTTTGGAACCAGTAAATTCTTGCTTCCATCACAGTCATTTCTGAGGTTCCTAAAGAGATGAAAGGCCCTGGATTTTCCACTTACGAGGCCCAGTGACCAAAAAGCCCTGGTGCCCTGGAGGAAGGGAAGGCAGGGGAGGAGCCAGTGGTGCCTGAGAGGCTGCCTAGCAGCAAGGCTGGGAGGGCCCCATGCTGGGGCAGCTCCTGGTCCTTTAGCCATCTGGCTGCACACTGGGCTGGTTCTCATCCTGTCTGGGCCCCAGAGAGCAGGCACATGGCCAGCCCGGCTGGGGACCAGTGAGAGGAGGACCTGAGTCAGGTGCTGTGCTCAGCAAGGTGGAGCCAGCTTTCCTGTGTTGACACAGCAGTCCTTTCAACACTTTTTACCTCCAGCCATCATCCCCTCGTCCTTTGTTTTGTTTTGTTTCTGAGTGCAGAGCCCTTGAAGGAGAAACAGTCATCTTTATAGGACAATTAGTGTAGGTCATAGGCCATTAGTGGGCCAGAAGAAGGGCCAAGCTGGGGTCAAGTGAGGCCCTTGGTCTCATCAGCGGTTGCTGGGTGAGGCCCATGCAGAGTGACATGGTTTACCCAGATGGCTCTCCAGCCTGAGGAGCCCCATGAGGACCTGTGACAGAACAGCTGATTTGGAAGGAAGCTTCAAGACCATTACCAACTGTTTGTCACATTTTGTCCTATCCTCCAATAGAAGTCCCCCAAAGTTGTGTACCTGTTGATCTTACTGTTACTATCCTATCCTGAAAAATGCCTTTGGCAGAAGCCACCTGGCTGCACAGTGCTCAAAAGGAAGGGACCTGAAAAACTGGCTGCTCCTAGCCAGGCATGGTGGTGCACACCTGTTGTTTCTGCTACTCTCGAGGCTGAAGTAGGAGGATCACTTGAGCCCACGGGTTTGGGACCTGCCAGGGCAACATAACAAGACCCCCCATCTCAAAAAAATAAAACAAGTGACCAGTCCCAGGCCTCCCTTCCCACCTCACTTTGAGTCTTACCAGCACCTCTCACAAGTTGGGACCTTGGCAGGACTTGGATGCTCTCTGCACAATCAGTGAGCAGTGACTAATTAAGACACGACCGCATTAGTCACATTGGAGGTGACAACTGAGAGCATGTTTCTGTTTCGTGTCTGGGAGATCCTGACACACTTTTCAATTATGTGGAACTAATAGTGTGTGGCTTCACGAA